TATTTCTATATCTCTTTATGTGTTACACAGACAGACTATTTTGCAGACTGTTCTGACTGACTCTAATGTTAGATTGAACAAACAAACTGTAATTTATATAAAAACTTATCCATGCCTGTACAATTGGTATGTTCCTGCATAAACAGGTATAAATATATATATATAAAGCTTTCAGTAATCTCTTAATAGCTGGGTAGTTTTCCGCTTTGATTTAAAGGCGTCCACTCCGTCACTAATGCTTTTCTTACTAGCCATAAATTGCCTCATTTTCTCAAGTTACGTTTCTCTAGAGTTCCTTAACCGCAAAGACATGTATGTCTCACTCAGAGCCTGCTGTGTGGTGTAGTCTGAATTCAGTGTCAAGGTTCTATAATTACAACTCTTCAGTTGCTTACACCTTCTTGAGGCTTACTGTCACAGTCGGATAGAACTAATTGACATCCATATTCACTGCAAATTGCAAACATTCCAGATGCTCATCCACCCTAATGAATGACAGTATCTAGAACTAGGCACCGTTACCACAGCATCTGTCATTCATTGGAATAGCAACATCGAATAAGGCAGCTGTCCTTATTTAACTATCCCATTAGCAACTAGGTGAATTTCCACTTCTCTAACTGCCTATAATTATTGATGACCCTATTAGGACATTCTCTATAAGCAAATTTCTGCTAATGAGGCAGTATGTTCCAGATAGCCCACCGATAAACTTAACATGTGTCACCTTCCATAATGGTTTCGTGGAGACCGGCAGTCATAATAGTATTCACCAAGTACCTATGGAAAAAATTCTGTGTTTGTGATCAATCTCAATTATTGATCTATTAAAATCACCAGCAATGTGATCATATCAATATGGTTGAATTTACTTGAGTCTCTTGTAACTTGTGGTTTGCAACGTATGACTGAGACCGGTACACTCCACCTTATCAGAGGTCTACTGTTGTTTGCAGTCATAAAATACCTGATTGTCTCAGCAAGTCCACTCACCACAATATTATTGGCTAGAGCTGATTGGAGATTACTGACTATATCAACGTCGGGATTGATATTAACACAAGTGAATATAATCCCAAGCGATTCCAAGGGAATAGCCAAGCTCTCTAAAAGTCTCCATATGTTTTGGGGGTGTCATATACTCCTAACTTTTCCAAAGTTCTGAGTTACTACCTTAATTTGCATTTCCGCGGTAGTTCCTCTTCATGATGGATCAATTTTATTGGTTGTTAACTATTTCAATTTATCAATGAAATTTGCGCATAATTTGATACATATGTGTGTAGAATTGATGTCAGACATTTTTGGTGTTTATTAGAGGCGTCAAATGCTCTTGACTAAACCGCCTATCTTCGTCTCGATCGAATTGTCAGTGGCCTCAGTTCATGGTGTCTGTCGCTGAGAATAGTGATTACAGCATTGGGCTGACAAATTCAGTAGACAAGAAGATTCATTAGCGCAAGAGACTCTAAGAATACCAGATTGTATTGGCCATCATCTCAAAGTATTTAAGCCGTGGTTAAATCTCGAAGCTCAACTCAGTGAAATTGAAGTTGAAGGCGTTCAGAGAGGTAATTTGAATTGGGCATTTGAACCATCCAGTAAGGCAGACATGGTAAAACTGGAAACAGATACTTCTCCACCTTTCGTTTCTTTTCCGGTTTCTCCTGTACGGCAACATCCAATCTGCATCCATTTCACTGCGTTCAATTCTGGATAATGACAGCGTCACTGTCAGAATGGGTGCTGGGAATGTGAGAAGGTGGCACAAGGAATTCAAGCTGATTATATTACTTCTGTGACCCCGAATGTTACTATGGATACATGTTAATATTTCTCTTGCCCTCACATTCATTTTGTGAGATGACCATGGGCACTGACATTTTTGACTTTGTCTTCCCTATTCTCCATCAGTGGAACGGCAGGTGGTAAAAAGCAACCCAAACCTCTTTGTCAAGAACTATTGTTTCTTTTCGTGTGGTTAGCTAACCTCAGCATGTTGGCTTATCTAGTACGATTAATACATTTTAACAGGTAAGGCGATAAACTCAAATATGGTCCACGTCCTACTGATAGTTAAACAGCTGCTTTTATATAAGTTTTGGAGAACAAGGCATTCTATTAATGACTATTAAATTTCAGCTGTATGCTTGTATAAGATATTCCCTTATCCTCAGAACTGCCCCTTATAGTTTACTAGCTCTCCAATAAGTGATCAGCAAGAAGTTGTAGCCAGTCCCCTTTTTGCCAAGTTAGCTGCAAACGACGTATGTTAAGCACAGTACATTTGGCAGAGAACTTATTGCTATGTACCGCGCCATATACCAATTTCAGCGTTTTGTGTGTTAGTAATTCATAACTTTCGCAAACTGTGAACGAGTCATGTGCAATCTAAGCTCAGCATCAGACAGGTATGCGCCAACTAGATTACGTTTCGCAGTTCGCTTCGGATAGTCGCATTGGATCCGGGGCCAGAGACACTATATAAGGCGTTATGTTCCACACATACTATTTCGTTCAAATTAACGAAATAGAACTTGTAAACTGGCTGGTATCCAAAAAGAAGATATCAAGCTACAACAAGTAAGGACAAAGGTTATCTTGATGTGCTTTCGTGCTTAGCATAATTTATGTTTGCGCCAATTTTGATGAAAACTTGGAATACAGAATCAGTTTCAGTTTCTGAAGTAATGCCAATGAATGTTTGCTTATATTTTGGCCATAGTGTTGCCCATCACTGCTATTCTATATCAAAGGGATTATTACTATGAAAGGTATGCACTTAGGGAAAATATGAGTAGAAATGGCTTTGAATATTGTTTGGAAGTTTTGAAAGTTCTTTAATTTGGAGGATTTCTAATTTTAAGCTGTAGTGGTACCATCTTTCAGTCATCAATAAGTGAGGTCTACTTGATCGTGTCTGTAAAAATGGCATGCATTTTCATGTAAATTTATATTTATATGAAAATATAAATTATTATTATTACAAGTAGATCGCAATAGCTTAGTAGATCTGTTGCTACGACAGGTATTGCGCAGTCAGCAAGAGGGGGAATCCGCCGAACCGGTCTGCATAAACACAGGTTCAAGTAGACATTTCTTCATCGGAAGGTTGCAACGGATCTTCCATTTGCATCAAGCAAGTTGAAGGCATGAGTGATAGGGAGAATGCTGACTTATGCGCCAGCGTCAACAAAGCAGCGGTTTTCACTAAGAAAATGCTGATTAGTTAAATGGGTTTGTTTTGGTGTCATGTCACAAATCAGAAATATGTTTTATGTTAAAATATGATAATAAATGAAAAAACACATAATTCTACGAAGTCACAGAAATGAAGTTAAGGCTGTTTGCGTGACCACAATTTTACAAGATGAAGTTCTCTATTGGGGTCACCAGTTTAGGAAATGAAGAAAACCTATCGCTACGCAAGATACGCTGTTTATAAGCTTAATTTTCTATCCTGCAACTCCCAATGTACTTGATGTACTGAGACGAGAGCCTAATCAATGCACCGAATTGATAGTTCAAAGCACGAGATATATTTCAGGATTGTAAATAAAGAACCACAATTATAGCTTAACTGCCTAGGGATCGTACATGAACGTTCAGAAACAGCGTGTCGAATAACGAGAGTGCTAGAACTCGTATCTGTAGCCTAATAAATCGATTGAAACAGTGAAGGTTAGCAATGTTGAGTTAAAAATATTGTAAGCTAATGATTTGGGTGAGATTTTTCACTTTTCTAGGACAATCACCCGTATGAAATGCACTCGGCTTTCAGCCTGCTTCATCAAAGTCAGTGCTGATGAGCTCTTTATAGATTGGTGATAGCTGAGGATTCGTTAGCTCTTTCAACTGACAACTGAATAGCTTTTTCAGCAACACTCTGTGCAGCCTAAGACTTTGGTCCCCTAAAATTCTTGAATATAGTCCTTGAGTAACTAACAAAATCCATCTAGATTTTAGACTGCTGGCTTTCTAAGTGTAATGAAAACCTATTCAGGCTACCAGTTGAGTTGTTTCAGAACCCCTTGGATAGAAGTCTGCTTTTGAAAGTGTAAGGCGGATTTTCCTAATTCATAAGACGAATAGTTAAGGGACCTTGTAATCTCTACTTCTAGCAACGTAGGAGGCAACAGAAAGATCCGCAGATGATTACAGCTATAAATGAAATCCCTGCATTAAACTATAAGGCTTAAAGTATTATCGGTCCCATATTTCGATAGGGGGAAACAGCTGATCAACATTTTTAGATTGAAGTATGGCAGTCCATACGGCGTTTTTAGACCTCTCTGGAGCGTTAACCAGGCGTCGTACTTAATTTGCCTCTAGAACGCCTTAGAAACCCGAATTTGTAAGCCTATTGCTGTAACTGAAATAGGACCTATATGGAAGTTAGATTTTGTACACGAAGTCGAATCACATACATTCCGTCTGGAAATCGTCAAGCCCTTGGTCCACTGTTATTCATCACATTGACTTATTCGTTCTGTCAAGTAAGTTTAGCTTTTTAGAACTCCTCTACACTAATGAGGTAAAATTACAGACAGCCACGGGAACTGAGGAAGACCCACCTACGTTGTAGGAAGACTTGAAGGATGTGCTGAGTTGAACCACAGCAAACAATAATTAATGTTGCACGATGTTCATCCACATGCCAGTAGAAAAAGTATCTCCTGCTGCCTATATTAGGACAGTTTATTCCTTTTAGAGTCGTAGTGTTGTCTCTAGTTACCCATAATAGGTAAAATAGAAGCAAGAGGAAAAACGAAAAATAAGCGGTTATGAGGTCTTGTTGACCATCTTTAACAATAATTCATTTCTAATCTAATCAATAATCACCACATTAGCACAACAGTATCCTCCGAAAACATAAATTACACTTCAAATTTCTCAATGTGGTTTACAAGGGCCATAGATAGCGAATCGTGACATCGATTTCACAGAGACTTATCAAAGCTTGTTGAATTTCTCGAATTCTCAAGAACCAAACACAAAGAAATTAATTTGATTTATTAAGGCTCATAAAGTAGATATTGGATATTAGTTATGTAGTAGCACATTTGTTTCCTCAAGGTCGCTGTATATGCTTATAACTTTGAGGAAACCTGCAGTACTCCATATTCATCCCAATATGTCTCGTTTCTGTAGAAGTAAGACTCTAGTTCACTTTTAAAGTTTCTTCAGCTGGAAGACCACCCGGTTTAAAAGGAAAGGAGATTGGCCTCTGGCATGCTGCACAATCAAAAATTAAAGAGCAAAGTCGATGTGAGCGTCAACCTAATGTACGTCTCTCTTTAAGTTGCGTTACTTTTAGGAATATCTTTTGTTAAGTATTTGTAATCTTTTCTATTACTTAATGTTACAGTGCTTCGTATTGTAACTGACGTTGAGAACCAAATGAAAACTTTTAAGAATTATAGATATCATTAAGTAGTGTTTGACACAAGTAAGGCAGTTTTGGTAAAGAATTACAGATTAACATGCATAGTTGTCCCAATATGTAGATGTAAAGAATATGTGGTTTCTCAGGCTCTGAGTAGTTCTAGAAAAGCTAAAAAGCTTCGTTCTTAAAAGGCATTCAGAATGTGGTTTCATAAAAACATTGTCCCGTAAAACCTTCAGTAGCAAGGACGTCAGTCATCATGTCTAGACCGGAATTTATAACTACAAACAACGGCTACTCTGGATTACAGCTTGCTTTGAATGTAATTAGTCTCACCTACTTCAATAATGCGGACCACTAGTGGTAGACTGATATAAAATGTGAACAAGTGAGAACCCATGTTGCTTCTCATGCAGATATCAGAGAAACCTTGTTTCCAAGTGACTGAGAGACGGGCTTTGTCTGCTTAAGGATCTAATAAATCCAATTAGGCCGGTGGAGAGATGGAGAGGGTTACCACTTAGTCATTGTTCGTCGAATGCAACGTGCAACAGAAATGAAGCAACGCCTATATCTGATATATGGTAAATTACAATGGGCAACAATGGAAACAAGAAATAAAGCAAATTCTGAAGCCGTGTGAATACTCTGATATGATTATGAATAATAAATTCTAACCTAAGCATCACCCACTTATTCATACTCTATCCCTATGTGTTATGCTAAAGAAACGTATCTAATACGATGTGGGTAGATGTGATACATTAAAAGTCACTGAACCGACTCCCAAATTGAAGCGTACAGACATCTATTGAAACTATTTACTCATATATACTTGTGTTTTCAAAACTGATCCAAAGGAGTCACATGTTTTAGTGACTATCTAATATAGTTTTGCACTTGTTTGAGCTTTTAGATCGAGGAGTCAACTGATCATACACACTGTTCAATGTCAAAATGGCCTGATTATGTCCACATGACTTCAGACATTTGAACGTATCTGTGTTTTTTGCATTGAGTGGTATTAGAAGTTGAGAAAACGGTCCAAATCGCACATGGTCCGAGCTCTGAATCACTTTTCTACCAGCTAAGCTGTGAGACTTTTACTCAAGCATTTCATTGTAACCGCAGAGATATCAGGTGGCACTTTCCAACGGACTAATTTTCAGACTTTGGTACGGCTTTAGATCAGTATAGGGATAAACTTTTCTCAATACGTAAAAGGAGAGTTTATGTGTATCTGGTCTCCACATAAAGTGTTTCTAACCTATGATACATCCACAATTTGATTGGTTTCTGCTAAAAAAATGAAATGCGTTGCACTTGTGGTACTTCTAGGAGACTAAAGTGTTGCTGTCATAAAATTAAGTATCTACAGAACACATATTTGCATCGAAGTGTATTAGCCATGCCAAGATAATGACTACTCGGTAGACTGCAGCATAATTTTGTTTTTGCGATCTAGAAGACTATAGGACTCCCTAGTTAGAAGCTGTAAATAATACTTAAATTACGAATTACAGGAACTCTTATATTCAATATATTTCTGTGTAAGTTAGCTGCTGCTATTTTTAAATATTTTTAGTGTTGGTTGCTGGGAGTATAGTAACTTGAAGCAAAATGCTAACTTACTTCTGTATGCTTTTGCTCACTCAGAGAGACGCCGATGGCTTGCTTTTATTTGGAGTTATTAACTGTTCAATATCAATTGTGTTTTACTATGAATCCACTTCCTTATTAGCAGATCATTATTAGTAGAAAAGGTGATTTCGTTAGACACGTTATTTGATTGTTAACCTAAGAACCTAAGTATTCGGATTTGGAAAAGGCTTACCATTCAAAGTGTGCCAAAGTAAAATAGGTTTTTCCGAACTGTTAGTAAATATCGTGTCATATCTCAGTGCTTTTGCGCACAAATCACGTTCTTCAAACCAGTCTACTTTTCACTGTAGTGGTTGTTGACATTTCAGAAACTTTTGACGAGAATAATTTTGTACAGGTGCATACGAATGTGTAAATAAACCAGTAAAATGCCCTGTAAGCTGCTGACGAGAAGGCAATAAAATAAAAGATGGTACCATTTTATTCTGCTAAAGTCGCACTTCTTGCTTTGTTCAAATTTAAAATGATATAATTCTGGTAAACAGCCTACTACGCTTATACGCAATTGTACGAGTCCCTCTCTGTGACTGAAAAATGATAACGTTATACATATAGGGTGTAACTAAGCAATACCAAAGCTTCTTGTTTACTAAGTGATACAGGGAGAAACCAGAATGTATGTAAGAAGCCATGGTAATATCAACACCAAACAGTCGTGTTCAGAAATCTATGCTTACTTATTTTAATTTCATATTAGATAAGTGTATTTTAAATGTCACACCGATGCAGTATTAACACATAGGTCAAACTAGTAGAACGGGATCAAGTAAATTATTAGAAAAAATGTTTAGCTAAATTTGGAATAATTGACCCTGATAAGTTAAATAACTTTAAAAAAAGCTCAGTCACTTGCATGTAGTCACAAAATAGGATGGGACAGGGTGAAAGTATTAAAAAGTAATATAGTTAGGTGGAGAGAGAGTTTAATCACTGAAGCTTTGTTTATCAACTGAACACCTCACACGTGCGATCGGAATGACGCAATGCCTATGCCGGAGATATGGAAAGTGGCAACAAACAACAAAGAGAAGTTGGAAAGACAGAAAGAGAAAATATATATAAGACCAATTGTGAAATCGTGTGACTAAAATTGATATGATTATGAGCAATAGTGTATGCTCGAAACGTCATCCAGTTGTTAATACAGCATCGCTGTGTGACATTTAAAATGCACTTATCTAATACGGAATTACATCCTACCACAGTGCAAAATTTCTACACATATTTTAGTTGGCTGTTTCATTAACTGAGTCACATTCGAAGTTACCAAGGTAACATTCCATAGTTTCACTTGTATAATGAGCATATAAAATGTTGATTGGAAGGAGAATTATCCTTACGTTAATGCAAATACAAGAGGTTTTGTTTTGCCAAAGTCAGGAATGTTTTAAAGCTTTGTAACACTAATGTGTAACTGCAATGAATTGTGGGTACTTAGTACCAAGTAAAAATGTTCAGGTGTAAAATCCTTTTAGTAAATGCACTCCGTGCTGGAGACTTAAGTTGTATCATAAAGACAGAATTACTTGTGAAGTTATTGGACGTTACCATGAGTCAGTCATGTGGATGCCCTTCATCTGGATTTTTTGCTTGGCTGTTATCATCACCGAATGGTACATAATCCCTGTGTGTGTGTGTGTGTGTGTGTGAGGGATGCTTTTTAACTGAGGTTCGGACTTGCCATATGGTACCAAAGTAAGAGATTTTATCAATAAACTACTTAGTCTGTGACCAATTCGTTTTAGGACAGCAATGTATTTGTAATTTGATCCCTGAATAGTAGTGGTGGGATGAGCTTCAATACACAGTGCTCAGTTATGTCGTTACACTTAGCTTAGTGACCACACTGGGTACCTGATTTCAACATACTTAAGATTAAATAGCCACACTGTCATCCGTCTACCATTACTCAAGTATTATCCTTCCTCTAAGTGAAATCTTTAACGAAAAGCGTAAGTCGTTTCGCTTTTGAACTTCCTACATTTCTTTCCCCTTGCATACTATAAAAATTACTGGTTGCGGCAAGCCTAGGTAGTCGGCAGCATAATAATTATCTCACGCTTAACAAGTGGGGCTCACTGTCTACTGTGGAGATCTGCACATTGTGAGTGATACACACGATGTGGAAGAAAAGTTGTCACTTTACAGACAAGTTTTGTATTAAGTGAAGGAATTAGTTGATTGTCTCAATACTTCACTGAAATGTTTTAATCCTGCGTAGGTTACATATCTCATGAGTAGTTTCATTTACCTTTATAGTTAGGTGAATATGTTTCATTTACAACGGATAATGTAAATTTTAAGGAGGAATAGAATTTATTATTCAAATCCATGGGATCTAAATGGTAAATTTTGTGAAAAGATAGGCATTTTGTTTTCAGTATTAATTATTTCTACTTCTCTCTCGTCAGTGGTTCAGCAGGATAATGCTCGGCGACCACGCATGTGGTCTGGGGTTCGATCCCCGACCGACGCACTCTTAGACCTCGCTAAGCTATTATTAAGGCCGGTAAAGAGGGAAGATAGGTATTGTGGCTAGCGACCCCACACCGTAAACACAAAACCGCCGCTACTGAAACTTCAAAGCTGAGGCTTAAAGCCCTATGTTCCACTCGGTAAGCAAAGGAATAAAAAAAAACAATAAAGTGTCTCAGTTTTTGCATTGTAGGCAGATCCTCGCTATTTTTGTATTGGAGACGAAGAATCAACAATCCTTACTTTTATAGCTTTTACTCACTGGTCAAAGAGCTGTACTTTTAATCACGCGTTTAGACTATAGAACTCATGCCGAGTTTTAAAGAAAGCCTAATGAACCCTAAAACGATAGCCATAACGGATTGTCAAATGCACAGGCATGTGCATATCTCCTTCATAATTTTTCTTTCTAGTTTCACATGACGTTGTTGACCTAAGAGGAATTCTGGTAAGTGAATAAGGGGGCAGGGACTAAAGTGAACCGGAAATTTGGGTCGTGGAGTAATTCATTTGTTTTTGAGAATCTATAGCACTTTTGTTTGTTTGAATAAATGTCTTTCTACTGTCACTATTTGTCTAAAAATAGTTGGCTTCTATGTCTCTTGTTGGAATGAATTTGTCAAGAGTTCAGTCAGTAGTACAAGAGTGTGTGGAGCTTGGCATTAAATCGTCTACAGTCAATAACAAGCATGTTTCGTCTGCGCAAAAATCTTCAACTGTCCTTACAACAAACAAAATTTCAGAGGATGAAGAAGAAGTAGAAGCTGTATTTGAAGAAATCCAAGATTCATTCGATATTCCAATCGACCAGTGCTCGGATCCAGATCAGATGACGCTCATAGGGGGAAATTTGGCCAAAAATGTATCCATAGATAACGAGCTCATTCAGTTGATGACAGATTGCAGGAATTCTCAAATGTATATGAAAATGTTAGAATCTAGACGTAAACTTCCGGCGTACCAAATAAAAGAGGTAAGAATATCTTGTATTTATTTTTTATGGGATTTCATGAACATTATTAAAGCTGCTTTTACTGGTACTATCTTATTTTCACAAGTAACTTCGTGCTTTGCACGTTTGAAATAAAACTGGCGAATTGTGTACCGTCATAATTGCCCTACAAATTCGTTATTTATCATCAACTAAATGCAGTATATCTCTGCAAAAACATGAACAGAGATATTTACCATGACCAATTCCCTTTTGTATTGTTGTGTTCTCTAAGCTTCAAAATGAATTTACCGCTAAAGATATTATCCAGGGACAATAACAGCATCATAATTAAATCATGCATATGAGAAAAGGCAATAACCAAAAACAATCCACTTGAGGTACAAATCAACATTACAGTTGATTTCAATTTTTAGAAGTATGTTACAGATATAAGTTGCTCAACTGCTATAGTTCAAGATTACTTTTAAAAATGCCGGTGAAAAATATGGCGTCTTAAAGTGAGACTTCCTCCTAATCAAACGTGCAATGGTCATGTCATATTTTTCTGACTAGATTTATTTGCGGTCGAAGTTCAGATTGCAATATCTCCTCATTACAGTTGGATCTGATGGTAATGGTTTATTTTATAGAGCTATTAATCTATGCACTATAAATCCATGATATTGATTATATATTGAATTACACACCATACGAGAAACATTCTCAAAAAATGTGATAGGAGCTGAAATATTTAAGGTGATCTGCTGAGCCACACTACTCACGTTATTTAGCATTTCCAGGACCTTGTGCAGTATAAATGCTTTAAGTGTTTTACTTAATATGCGGTGTAAAGAAATTGAAATGTTATTTCTCTTCAGTGTGGTATATAAAAATACTGTGTAACCTATGCGTCACTAATTTTTTCAGTATTAAAATGCCTTCCACCTTCATAAACTAATTATGCCGTCTGAGGTTTAATTGTAGATAAAAGAGGTATTTATTATTACATAGTTTTCTAATATAAAAGTGTAACATTTTGTATTACAATGTATTTTTAAAAAATTCAGGATGTTGTTTCAACGGTACAAAACAATCAGGTTGTAATAATAAGTGGTGAAACAGGTTGCGGAAAGACTACCCAAGTCCCACAATTCATTTTAGAAGATCAAGTTCTAAAGGGGAATGGATCTGTTACACGTATTGTTGTTACACAACCACGACGTATCAGTGCAATTTCAGTTGCTGAGCGTGTTGCAGCTGAAAGGGGTGAATCAATTGGATCTTCTGTAGGCTATCAGATTCGTTTGGAACGTCGATATCCTCAGCGTCCTCATGGTTCAATTCTCTTTTGTACAACAGGAATTATTCTTCAATGGTTTCGTTCTGATCCATTGTTAAAAGTAAAGTGAAATTCATTTTTTTTCAGTATAATAATAAATCCTAAAATGAAATGTCTCACTCACTTATCGTAATTTATGGCTGTTTTGTTTACTGAATTTTTATTCGTTCAATTGTCCATATTTTAAGTCATTGTCTAACTAATCGAATATCTAATATCTTTCTTGTTCTTCAATAAGCGGAATATTCCCATATTGAGTCATAAGAAAAAAGTGCAAACAGCGAAGAAAATTTTCTCTTCGACGATTCATTTTCATGATCTGTAATTATAATTAACAAAGAAACCTTTAGACCAATCAGATACTGGTAAACTTTGTCCTTGAAAAATTGTATTACATAATGTAAGGTGTAAGAAGGCATGACTAATTGTAAGTTAGAAAGGAGACAGAAGTTGGCATGACGTAATAAGTGTGAGATAATGACTAATCAATAAGCTCGTGTGGAATGGACAGGAACTAGTGGAAAGGCTATAAAGTGTTGCTGTATAAAATCTGTATGGAAAAGCAATGTTATTAATAAACAGTAATAGAGTGGAAATAAAATGTGGATGATGGGAATAATAATGACAATAAAAGTATTAATAATAATAATAGTGAACTTACTTTATACAGGAAAGAAGCAAAATTGTAGTGAGAACTTTACTCTGGCCATGGTAGGGCAAGAAAATGTATGTATCGCTTTTGAATGCATAGGTCCAGTTTCAGATCTCGAATGGCTAATGCTTCAGCTATGTACTGATGGCGTATCCGAAGTCCCTTTGTACGATAGTGAGGAACTCTGTGTAACACTGTGAAGCATTCATGTGGGGGGTGCTCAATGTCCGGAGATGACAAGGTGTTCGAGGATCGAGCTGTTGCTATTCTTCTTTTCTCCTCTGGCTAACCAAGTTTGGCAGTGTTCCAGAATACGTTGGTGGACTGTTCCTAGACTAGTTCCTGTCCATTCTACACGAGCTTATTGATTAGTCATTATCTCACACTTATTACGTCATGCCAACTTCTGTCTCCTTTCTAACTTACAATTAGTCATCCCTTCTTACACCTTACATTATGTAATACAATTTTTCAAGGACAAAGTTTACCAGTATCTGATTGGCCTAAAGATTTCTTTGTTAACTATAATTACGATTGTACAGCTCATGAAAATGACTCGTCGAAGAGAAAATTTTCTTCGCTGTTTGTGCCTTTTTCTTGTTCTTACCCATAATATTTCGTTTTTTGGATTGGATATTCAATGGTGAATAGTTTTTCTCCATTCTTTCACCTTGAATACATATGGTGAAACGATATGTGGATAGATTACGTATTAAAGTTGCTTTTCATATTTACGAGGAGTGAAATTAAGTAGTAGGACCTATATGATGAACCTTCTGTAAATATGGTAATTATCGCAGTATTAATTCGGCCTCATCAGTAATACGCTTGTGGATGCCTCTCTCGCTCAATTCTTATATATTGCTTCATGCATGCTCTATTACCACCCATACTCAGACGACTGTAAGTAGTACTAATGCATGTGATAAAGCTGAGCATTCTACGTTTTATAGGTAAGGGAATGAATCGTATTTAGGATGAATTGTGTCTACATCATCCAGGTGGTAGGAATATTTATGAACTGCAATCATTACATTTCCCTCTCTAGCTGTTCTTGAATCGTGAAGATTGGCGTCTAACAATTAAGCATCAAATGCATTATTTAGCTTAAAAATCAATTTCAATTACTGATTAATTGTTTGCATTTCTTCACTTATGCGTTAGGTAGTATAGATTGTTTGAATAAAATCATTTAATATGAAGGCTTTACCTAGTCTGATCTATTAGTTCGTTGGCCAGTCAGTATTCAGTTACTGGGTACCGGGCTGAGTCATTCATTGTGTGAGAGGACTAATGATACTGTAACAACAGAAGGCAAGGGTCAGGCAACAGATCATTTATTAAGGAAATCAACGCATATTTATATATTTTCATATACATTACTATGGTTATTTAAGCAAACAAACACAGTCTTCCGATTGGTTGTTTCTCACGTAAAGTTAATCTTTCATCTATTTGTGACTGTTTTTTGAATGTCAAATCCTCTATATGTTAACTGCATCCGCCTACGCAAAGTCTGCTGTGGTCGGTTTTGAATCAATCTTTGTTCACATTTTCTCACGACAAATCTTGGGAACGTAAATATTGACGTAAATTACTGTCTACCAATTTGGCTAGTAGACAGCTCTCACCACAATACTACCCAGTTTCCCCAAGCTGAAGTGAGTGGAGGAAGATTTGAAACTGTAATTCTTTGGATGGAAGTCGAGTGCTTAAGCCAATCGGCCCTTCAATAGGTAGAAAGACGTCACAAATATATATCAATCATATTTTTTAAAACATTTTTTGTGGCATGTGTTTTCTGAGTTTTATGCAGAAAAAATGAAATCAACTAACAGAAATAACTTAAACATCAAACTTCTATTTTACTGCAGAATATCAGCCATATTATTGTCGATGAAGTGCATGAACGCGAATTCTTATGCGATTTCCTACTGTGTATGCTGAAACGAATAGCTCCTCTTCGTCCAGATCTCCGGATAATTCTTATGTCAGCAACAATTAATGCAGATAGATTCTCTGAGTATTTTAGTAAGTTTACATTTTTATTACTTTTTCATACTCATAGTAGTATAATTTTACTGGTGTGTCTTACTATTTCATGAGATATAATATTCGATTTTAGACTAAACGGAGTATTTTCTGTTCCATATATTTCTTAACCTCTCCATATATATATATATATATATATATATATATATATATATATAATCACTACAGCCGGTTATGGCCTTCGTAAAATACTGGACATCTTTTCTAATCCTGTATGCAAATGCTCTTGCTTCTCACTGATTTCTGTTACGTTCGCACTGTTTGTAATTTATTTTTTACTGCTTTCGGTAGGATTTCGATAGCCTTACCTGGTGAATCTGTGTGTTCATTTTTGTGCTTTTTTCCTTTCCTCCATTTAGTGTATCCGCCATGATCGGTACTGTGTTTTTCATGGTTTTATAATCAAGAATAAAAGATTCAAGAATCTGTGTTTTATATCTCAAAAGTGTTCGTGAAAAACTGAGCATGTTTTACCAATTTTTTGACTATACTTTTCCTGTGACATTCTCCTTGTCTGCTTTTATATTTTTCTAGTTTCGTCTATTTTTCATTTTCACATTCTGTGTGTATAAATATCTTGTGTTTTACCTATTTGCATAACTGCTGAACGAGATTTTCTACGGACAGAGTGAATTTAAAACTTGATCACTAGTTAGACTTTGTAATTCATTTGATAGGTTACTGGAATAGAAAGTCAAATTAACCCTCGGCAAAGCTGGTCTGGATTACATGGCGACTCATTCACCCTTTTAATGCTTCTTGTTTCCTTACATCGATGAGCTGTCATGTGATACTAACAAACCTAGTTAACAACAGCATTAATGGGGTATTTTAAAAATGACTTCTTATTACTTGTTTAGTTTTGATCATCTTTCCCGAGTGCCGCATTACGTCAGAACTTCCATTACAGCGGCATGTAGTCTTTTTTATCTGTTGTCTCCTATGTTTCAGTTCATTGGGATTACGGTTGAAGTTGATAATGGACTGGGTTTCAGTGTGTTAGTAATTATTATTATTATTGTTCCCTTGGGTTCCGAGTGGAACATAGGGCTTCAACAATACATCTTCACTTTGTTCTATTTGGTGCTTTCCTCTTCATCTGGATCCCCGATTTACCATAATCTCTCATCTGCTCTCTACACGATCTCCTCCATGTCTCACTAGGACGACCCATTCGTCGCTTTTCATTGAGGTTCCACTCCAGGGTCTGGCGTGCGATGTCATTTGACAGCCTTCTCCATTTTCTCCTACATAGTTGTTGAGCGATCGGCTCTTGGTTGGTTTGTCCATCACCAGAGTTTCTTGTTGCAGTTCAAGTTTCTGACGCGTATAGATGGACTGACTTCACATTTATGTTGAAAATCCCAGTCTTTTCCTTCATTTTGGCTGAGTACAGAGGATTTCTAAACTGGTTTCATGTTGATGAAGGCGTATCTTGCCTTTCCAATTCTGTCTGGCTTTGACATCTTCATCCGTTCCGCCTGTAGTTGAAACGATGCTTCCTAGATAAGTGAAGGAGGTAACTTCTGTTAAATCTCTCCCGTTGATTGTGATTGGTGCTGGTTGTTGTTGCTATTGTTTATTTATCTTCATCACCGTCTTCTATATGCTCGTTTGGAGTCCTATCTTCTCTGCTTCTTCAGTCAGTTTGTTGGTTTTCGCCTGTAAGTCTTCGAGTTCGTGTGACATTAAGCATATATCATCTGCGAAATCCAAATTTCCTAGAGTCCTTTCGTCTGTCCAACGTACACCTGTCTTCTCATTCCAGGTACACAGTCTGATGTATAATCCAATCCAACACAATTAGGAATATCACCGGTGATAGTAGACATTCCTGTTTTAGCCCTGTATTCACTGCAAACGCCTCGCTGATTTTTCCGTTGTGGATCACCTGACACACTGTCATAAAGCGAGCTGTTGAATGAGGTTGATGAAGAATTGAAGTATGCCGTATTGTTGAAATAGTTTCCAAATTACTTCGGAGTCAACACTGCACTATCGAAGGCCTTTTGGAAGTCGATGAACTTGAGGTAGAGACAGGTTTGACTGCCATTCTACGCTGTATTCTGTAATGATGATGCGTAGGGCTGCAATTTGATCAGCACATGATTTGCCTTTCATGAATGCAGGTTGTTCCGGTGGGTGGAGTTCGGCATCTAGTGCATTCTATATTCTCTCCAGGATGATGCGACTTAGTATTTTACTTGGGGTGGACAGCAATATTATCAAGTGGATAATTCTCCATCGTTGTGTGATTTTTCAAATAAATTTATCTAATATGGAATTAAATGCTCTCACTTATTTAGCAAAAACAGCATTTATTTTCTGTGATGAGAGTCTGTCATACGGAATCTCACAGTATAACTGATCTCGATAATCTGTTTCTCATTTTGGAATTTTTCCGTAGTTGTAAATCATACTCTATGTGGCTGTATTAAATTTTTTACGTTAGAAATACATGACTACTTATTTGGAAGCAGTAGGTTAAGTACATTGAAAACATTTTCCACTCTTAGCTCATGACTATCAACTAAACTGCAGAATTCGTGTTTTGCTTATTGTTCGGTCGCATCACTCTCAAAAACTACAAAGTATCAACATCCATAAAGAAATTTCAGTTACGAAGATGCGGTGGCCACTTTAGTTCTCATGTGACTGTTTTTTACTAAGTAGTGGATTAGTGAATTTCCTACGTTAGGAGTTGAACTTTCTCATTCTCGTCTGTGTATAATACAATGGCCTTTAGCAGTAACTGTTAAAAGTATTACATCAATATTATCTGATTTGATCCCTAGACACCATGAAGAATGATTATGTAGTTAATGGAAAAGGTAAGGTCAGATTAAGAATGGAAAACGGATATTTTAGTGCTCATTTTACGTAAGCTATAAAATCCGACTTCGCATTGATTGAGGCATCAGCAGTCAATCAAAATAAATTGATATTCTTCCAGCAGTAAAAAGGGTACATTGTGTGTGATTCTCAAATGTAGAGGCCATTATCATTGATTCACTTTCGGAGTATCCTATTTCTTATAGTTTCACGCGTCTGTAAATTTTAATTTACCCCTTCTTTGCTTTTCGGTAACTTTTTTAAACTGAAGTCTGTTCGTGATGAAGTTAGTCATCAGATGTTCAGTTTTCTGAGTTTGTAGGGTGCTAATATTTTATGGCTGTATCTCTTAATAACGTATGATATGTTTGTAATTATCATCCATCTCACTTTTTATACTAAGAGGCTTTTTTGAAGTCTTCAAATTCCTTATATTTATACTTAGGGTTATGTTCATATAAGCATAAATTGTATTCTGTCAATGTTTAAAGACAGGCGGAAGTTCCAGAACTCGTCTTAAATTTTGGGTGTTGATTTCAGATATCAAGAAGCCATAGAAACTGAGTGGATGAGCAAACCTCTCTGCATTATCTCACACATTTCGAGGCAAATTTATCTGTTGACGTTAATCAAAGAAAAAAAAGCGAATTATCTTATGACTAAATATTGCATTCTTTTCACTTTTAGATAACTGTCCGAAATTCGAAATTCCTGGTAAAACATTTCCAGTCAAAACCTACTACTTAGAAGATGTTTTGAAAGAAACCAAGTGAGTTTAGTTTTTTGTATTGTTCTCATAGGAAATAATCACTCCTGTAAAGCACAATTATTTTTTTCTCCTCGGGTACAACTTGAATTTATTCTAAGCTTCCATTTCACTAAACTTATCTGGACAGTATTGATTCTTTTATGTGTTTGTTCATGTCACGCATACTTCTGTATAGTGTGGTCATTATTTTTTTTAAAGTGTGTTATTCTCTTTTCCACTTACTTCAGTAATATCTTGGAAGCATTAAGTTTCTCGTACACTGAGTAAAATTCTAGGATATTATGTGTCCATTAATAATGATTATGAAAGATATGCATTGAAAAAATATAGTGACTTTTAGGCCATTTGTTTGATTGTAATGTCTGGTAATACTGGTAATACTTTTGAATGTGGAATTAAAAACGTCATACAAGTTATTATCGATTCGTACTTCAGATCATTTTACATTAATTGGTTTTTATTTATACAATTATTTGTCACAATGAAATTGTTCATTGAGAAGTTATCAGTATTTCTTTGCCTAGTTTACAGTGCTACTGAAATGTGTGCATATATATAGTATGACCACTAAACCGAGTAGGATATTATTCGTAAAATCACTCCCTTTGAGAAGGAAGTTGTAAGAGTTACACCATAGAAAAGATATTTATGTGAAGATGTGTGTCATTGAGTTTTTCGCTCTACTCAGGAAGTGTTAATAGCATGTAGGCTGATCAGCTGTGCTAATTTTGATATGAGAATAGAACTTGAGCATTGTGGTAGAGTATGATACTGTCATGGGGAGTATATTTTTTGATGAAGTGACGCAGTGATACACTATTATTTTACTGATGACATTTCTAGCACAATTTACTGCTCATAATCCTATCAAGGTACTGACATGAATTTCCAACTTTGTTTATATCACTCCATTATTTCTTGTCCTTTGATTGGTCATTAGTAAATAAAACAGTATCACTCTGTAACTATCTAATAAATTTACTCTATGATGTATGAATTATACTTAGCTGCTGTTCAAATAATCTTTCAGAGCATTTTCCTGCAATGTTGTTGAATAGCAATAGCGTTGGTTGCATAGCGGTTAGGACGCTCGCCGATCATGCACATGGTCCGGAGTTCGATCCCCTGCAGACGCACACCTGATATCTATGGTTGGCCCGCAAAATTTGGGCTACCGATATCACAGGCTGAAAATTTCATATCTGTACCAAAAATACGGTGTGAAATCAAGCTGTGACCAAAAAAAATAAGTGAATGAGATAAATTAGTTTTGTTAATTAATGAATTTATGATTATACATGTATTTCTAATCCCTCTGGCTGGCTATATTTCCTCTTTAGATTCTGGTTGCCAAACTCTGCTTTAAATAAACTTAATCGTGACCAATCTTCTACATTAAAACAACGTCTTCTTAAGTCAAATATTCCTAAGAAAGAGGCTCGCATACGGTCCTATGGAAAAACTCCTGAGTTCTGTCGGTGGTTGCAATCTTTAAATGGGTGAGTTTACAGTAAGAAGATGTTAATTATTATGCTCATTTTTGGAGAATTATTTGTTATCTGAAATGGTCATAGTGTAACGGTAGAAGACGAGGAACGTCGTAAAGGAATGTTGTTTTGGAATTTGGTATCTCTATATGGCGAAATTATGTATGCCTATTCTGCAAATCTTCATTTGCACAGATCTTCCGTGTTGTGCTACTTCTGTTCTTCATATAGTGTTTCTCTGTCTTCTTTTCGTGTCTCCTATGTTTTGTTGCAACGGTGAATCATTTGCTGTCCCTGACATCATATCTACCTGCCCGCTATTCGGTGTTTTAATGCCGATAAACATCTCTTTATACACTACTGATAAATCTTATCAGTAGCACACTTCATAACACCAGCTGTCAAAGAAATCCATTCCCTTTCTCTTTTCGTAATATGTTTTTCGTAAATGATAACTATGAGTTACTCCTGTTATAACGACACAGGTATAAACATTCCAAAGGCAAATAGTATTTTGTAAGGGCGGAGTATTAAAATCTGATTTTCATTTTTCAATGACGTAAGCACATGCAAATGAGTTATTTTATCATGTGATGCACATGGTGCACCTCTACATGTACAAAACAGTCTACAACAAGTAATCCAATATAATAGCAAATTGCTTTTTATTTACTGCCTGTACAGCTTTTCTTTTACGTCTCGATTTTGTTAAGTTATTGTACATCAAGGTATTTTGAAATTGTTCTCCACTTAGTGGTAATTTATAATTAAGGAAGATTATAATAATTTCCAGTTAAACCTTCATCGTATGATAAGTTGTTCTCATATTTCATCCAAGTTATCAAAATATTCAGTTATCACACTCACCAATTTATGAGTTCGCATATTATTTCAACCTTTGACTTGCAGAGTTACATAATGATCAAACCTGGGTTAAATGGTAGTAACTTTAGAATGATTTCAGGCTTATGAAGCTGTATACTAAGGTGTTTCTCAAAAGGTTTCATCCATTTTATCAGAGAAGTTATCAGAAATTGATCTTATTCCATGTTTTCTCTAAATAATTCGACCTTCCCATGTTGTCTCAAATGAAGTTTAATAGAAGCGTGCTCTTTGTTAATCAGAAAGTTAGCTTTAAAGATCCCTTAACGTACTTCTGTAGAGTGTCTAAAGTTGATACTGTCTAAAACCAAATTAACTTTCTGATAATCACCTTCATATGTTTGTTAGAATATAATTGCATAAGCCCAATCTGGTACACGTCAACACTTAGGTTTTCTACTAATATAACGTCTGAAATTTTGTTTTTTTTTGTAATTAGTATAAAAAGATTTTTTTATCACTTAAATCTAGTAAATCAGCGACATTTTGTTAATGCAGTGTGCGTCGAAGTCCTTGTGTGTTGCCGTACTGAGTAAGAAGCTTGTATTAAGAGCTGTTGTTCATTGATGTGTCCTAAAACTTACACGCAACTAGACGAATTCCTACCGATTGTAACTGCATACATTTTGATGATTTATATATGATTTAATGATAAATTAACTCAATATTCTTTAGAATTAAGTAAAGGTGTAAGCCACAGCTCAGTTTGTTGATAGAATAACTTTCAGTGACATTCAACCCACCTTCCACATTACAATTTCAGAGTTATTCGACAAGTGTATACTAGTAAGGTTTTAGTTGTTAAGCGACATGATCAACTGTCCTTTCCACTTTCAACTGCGTCATCTGTGAAAATGTCCCTTTATATATGCGGGTGTCTGAGTACCTCCAACAAATTAAAACAAATTTTGCATACAAAGTACTCCATTTAAATATCATATTTATCACTCAAGTGGGTGCTTAGAGTAGTGGTCTTGTGAACTGGTTTAACAGAACCCACTAAACCATTGATAAGCTTGTTATCAAGCTGGCAAAAAGTCACCCAGTTTTTATATCACGTTGTGCGTCGGTGGCACAGTGGCTAGGATGCTCGCCGACCATGCACATGGTCTGGGGTTCGATCCCCTGCTGACGTATACCTGATATCTATGGTCGGCCTGCAAAATTTGGGCTACCGAAATCACATGCTTAAAATCCCATACCTGTACAAAAGAATAAGGTGTGGAATCAAGCTGTAACCAAAAAAAATATCGGTTGGTGTTATTGCTTCAAAACAGCTCATTTTAGTCGAACATATATGCGTTAAATGACTTATCTTGTGTAGTCTCTGGAATATACAACTAGTGTTTGTTTATGTTTATCTGTGTATTTTTTGCATGAGTTAGCAATATTTCATAAATGTCTATCAACTTTACTTTTAAGACTTGCTGTAAATTTTTTACGACTCAACTCTAGGCTGTCTTCAAATGCAGTAGAAATCTTACGTAGTGTCGGTGAGGATAGTTATCCACAAACTGATCTCATCGCTCATTCCATTGAGCATATTCTGCAGAATACTGAATGGGGTGCAATACTTGTTTTTGTTCCAGGTCTTTCAGTAAGTTATTTCCTGAAATTATGAATTCTACCTTAAGTTGTGAATTGTTTGAGTTTTCGGTATAAAATTGTGATGCATGAGTCCAGAAAGAACTCTTTCTGTTTATACTTTATAATTGATTAGGTATAGGCAATTTTTCTGTGGTTGGTTCTGCAATGATGGATGGCAGCTTTTCAAGTTATTCATAAGCATACGTCAAAACTTTAGATGGAATAATAAATAACCTTCCTCAAGTCCCTCAGGGTCATTGATTGTTTTGCAGTTTTTCAGTGATTTATAGACTCACTTCATAATAACACGGTATTTCAACATTTTGGAACTTGTTTATCTCAGTACTCATCTTTGAAACGAAGTACACGTCGACGATGTTTTATCCTTCAATCAATAATGTTTAAGGTCGTGATTCTATTTGATTTATTCAAAGCACCTACTCGGAGTGCATTGTAAACACCAAGAAATACACAAAATAATAATGGTAACAATGATTTTATGAAGTATGTGGCAAATGTAGAAGTTGAAGAACGAAAAAATTTCTAAACAGGTTAGCATATATATCAAGAGCACCTAATAGAGTATTGATTACTTCACATAACATCCAAAAAGGGAAGAAAGTAGAAAAGTGCAGTATGTTTGTGACTGTTTCCGATTCTAAGTCATATCTGACATCTCTGCATTCTAAATAGATATTTAGGCGTTAATTGATCTCATCCGTTGTATGTAAAGGCAGGCTTAGTTAAGTGTCTAACAAACCAAGCAATGGCACTAAGTAGTACAACAAAAAGCCTAAATGATGAAATGAAACAGAAAGAAGAGGCGCTGGTATTAAATAACTGCCGTATAAAATCCATTGGGAAGATGAAAAAAGGTCAAAAGCAAAATAAAAATAATGGTGAAACTAATAATGACAACATAAATAAGAAAGAATATAAGGCATCTACAGTTTTACCATATGAGGAGGCCACACCTGAACCCCCTACGTAGGACTCCGAATAAAGCAGTAATTAGGGTGGCATTCAAACTTACAAACTCACTCAGAGACAAACTCTGTAGGCCAAAGGACCCGGTTGACCCCATTAAACAAAATAATATAATTTACAAAGTGCCTTGCAATGACTGTGAGTTAGTGGAACTACAAAGGTCAAACTAGTAGATCGGGAATAATTAGATTATCAGAACATAAGAATTCAGCTAAGATTAGAATGATTGACCCCACAAAATAATTTAGAAAAGAAATTGGCAATAGCACTGCATGCATTAACACGCAGCCACACAATAGGGTGGGACAGAGTCAAAATTCTAAAGGGTAATATAGGTAGGTGAAGAGAGAAGTTGATTACTGAATCTTTGTTCATAGAATCTACGCACAACGCTTGCAATAGAAGTGACTCAACGCAAATACCAGAGATGTGGAAGGTATTCTTATCAGTCAAATCGGAGAATAATAAATAATGTTAAAATGTATTCAATTCACATTATAACATTCCATCAAGTTATTTATTTTACTATGAAAACATCTTAATTTCCATCTTAGTGACTGGCAACACTCGTCTTATTTCCCATCTTATTGTATTTTATTATATATGAATGTACTTTATCGTATGTTGATTTTATTCAAACGTCTAATCAATTTTTACTCATGTATACAAACGAAGCAAGGAAATTATGTGAGTACCTTGATATAATTATGAGCAATAAATTGTGCTCGAAATGTCGTCATCAGTAAATATTACTGCATAACAGTGTGTGACTTTATCGAAGTAAAATTTTATCCATAATGGAATTATACTCTACCACAGTGTCGAAGTTTTATCCTCATTTCAGTAATATCTGACAATGTTTCAAGCACACTTTGCTGGGGCTGAGAATTACTTACGCAGTATCGTTACGAGATCTAATTAACTTGATATTGACAGTGGTGTTCGAGTCGTCACACATCCTTAGCTCGGAGAGACCAGATATCTCAGGTGTAGAGTTGTACTGCATGGACTACAGCCTTATAAGTATGATCTTGTGATACTTTTCAACATTCTGGATGTCCTACCGAAAAGCATTTCAGGTTGATTAAATCGATTGTTATCACTACTACCACTAATTAGCGCCCTTGTTGCACGCAGGCCTCCTACCCGTATAAAATATTGCCTCGCCAACGTAGTTGGAATCTGTGTGTTTAGTGAAATCTTGACTACTAGTATTAAGCAGTCACATATTAATAATCTTGATGTTTGATACTTTGTCATCGAGTTAACTGAAAGTCATTTTTCTATAAATAGTGTCATATCGAAATACTGGCCTCATTTGGCTTGATATCGATCTAGTATATCGTATAAGCATTTGTCATAATATGTATTGTTTGTCAACAATAAAACTACTTGTCAGAAGTGGGAAAGTTATTGATCACTTTGTGGTACTGTGTAGTTAAATTATTGTTGCATCACTACAAATCATAAGTCAATAATTTTTAGACTTTATAAACTATATCTTATTGATATATTTATTCTCACAAAAGATGTATTCTCTTACTGATTTGTAGAAGAGTGATGTTATCAATTTATTATATTTGGATCATACTCACTGATGATCATGTTTTACTTCATATTAACTGATTTTTGAAATCTTTTTGTTCTACGTTTTCGTGTGTATACTAAACTTGGCACCAGTCAATGAAATCCACAACAGTTAGTCTAAGTCACGTAGGGAGATGTAGACTTCCTGGTTGGGGTCCTCGGGACGGTAAAAACCAATGGTTGGAAACAATTGGTGACATGGCTCAAAATCGTTCTCAGTGGCGCAGATGCATCCACTCCTTGTGACTTATGATTTCCGATGAAACTGTTCGTTCTTCGTTATTACTACTCCTTTGTCTCACACCTCTGTTTACTGTCTATATTATGCATTTCTCCTACTTTCTTCTCTTGCTTTGTGTGCTACATGGAATGTGGCGACTTGAACTGCCGCACAACAATGCAAAGTTCTATGTCGAAAACAGACAGACAGAATAGTGTGTGTGTTTGCATAATTTTGAACTTACTAGTACTGCCTATATGTTCATAGAATCAGAACAGAAATTAACAGGTGCATATCAAAGGTTTCTTTTAGCATTTACAAGAATTAGATGAAGGTAGGCTATGGCGTTCGATTTTCTGTTACAGTTATAGCAAATTATAAAATCAACTACAAACTTTGAATACCACTGAACATTGAAAACTGCAAGTCTTGATGAAACACAGATAGAGCAAATTATTACAACAAAACTAGACTAAGTAATGCGTTAAAAGAAAGAAATATTTGATATCCGACCTCCAGAAACTTCATTTCATTCGAAATCATATGATGCTCATTAGTACAATGATATACATGAAATGAGGATTTGTTCCTCTGTTGTTAGGTTTTTCATACAATGATTTATTATATGATGTAGACAAAAGAAGAACACATAAGCAGGAAAAGCAAGGTGTATTTCCCTGCAAGGCTGTATATCAGTTGTGTTAGCAAAGACTAACAGAATTTGTTTCAATGTTGCGAAAATATTCATTCAGACATTTAGAAGACAAAGGAAAATTTGAGCAAATGTAATAGTAAATAGAGTATCAAATACAATTAAGGAAATTTCCACCACAAATTGAGGATCACTAAAGCCTTGATGGCCGAGGTATATACAGTGTTTGGACCAACTTCTTTTGCTTACATAAGTTAGGTTTCCTAATGTAGATCCCAACAGCCTCACTGCTTGTTTCGTAGGTCTTGAACTGACTGGAAGTGGTAATGAGTTTCCCATTGTTTACTGGAAGTATGCCATTTTTTAAAATATCTTGTGTACATTTTTTTGCATGACTTTTTTAATTAAGGAAATATTACAGTCTGATAGCAAGTATTTGACCGTTTTCTTTGGAATATTCATAGTTTGAACGATGATGGGTGTAGCGTCCGAGTCTTAGTGAGAAGAACATCACTTACCGGGAATGCGAGTTTATTCACGTAACTAGTCCCAAACAGAACGAAATGTGCATTCTGGTTTCCACTGCGTGTCACCGTCAGCCAAAATAATACTCATAGTTTTTTTTACTGTGCTACATTTCAATTCCGAAATTATTTTGCAAATATTATGGAGAAAATTTATTTTTGATAGAGTCTCACAGTGTTTTACGGTAATATTTACTGACAACGTTTCGATTACAAAACTTATTGCTCATTATCATACCAAGTTATTCACACAACTTTTTGACTTCGTTTATATATAATTCCATCATTTCTCATCTCTTGATTTGATTGGTAGTAATCTTTTCCATATCTGTGGTATCATTACTATACAACACTGTGAGACTTCGTGAAAATAATTTTCCTCCATAATGTAATTATACTGTAACACAGTACCCAAGTTCTATTTTTATATTTTACAAATAGTTTGACAGTTATTCTGTTGAAAGACAAAACTATCAGTTTCTATCTCTTAAATGACACTGAAGGTCATAACAAGGTCTTCGTTAGGAAAATTTCGATCGAAAAAACGTCGATTTGAAAAACGCTGCTACAATTAGGGTGTACATATCCTGACTCACGATGCGTTCTCCTCTTACAAAGCTGCTATTTTCTAAACCTGGTTTTCAGTTTTCTCTTTAATTTATTGGATTAATTTACTTCATTTTATTTCTTTGCTCTGTAATCACTAGGATATAAAAGAGACAATCAGAGGTCTACGTGAACTGAATCCAAGAAGATATGATGATCGTTATGGAAGTGTACGGATTTATCCTTTACATTCCAGACTCCCTACATCTAGGGATCGTTCATTGTTTGAGCCCCCGCCACAAGGCAAACGAAAAGTTATTATATCAACTAATATTGCTGAAACAAGGTTTGATCTTAATTTATTTTCTCCTATTAAAAGTGTTTTTTTGTTTTGGTTGCCATTATTATGGATATGTAAAATCGTAGTGACTGAGTGTTGTATTGATAATTCAACTATAAGTGAAAGGGTAAAAGTTGGATCCGTGTACGCCAGTAGAATTTGATTCTTAAACAGTCTACATAAGGTGTGTAGCGTTAATTACAAAAGATAAGTGTAAGATAAGAAAAAGCTAGCTGCCTTTGATCATAGATGTTTGCATTTTACCTCCCGTGCTAGGTGGTATAATAGGATGAGCAGTATTGAGGTTGGGTACAGGATTTCATCATGAGCTGACATTTGTTAGAGAACCCTTGGAAAACCTGGGAGTACTGGACAGCTGTTTCGTCCTAGTTTGGAACTCTTCATCAGTACGCACCCACCGGGATTCGAACTAGGACCTTCTGGTTACAAGGCGAGCTCGTATACCATTAAGCCACTGGGACCCGATCCAATGGCCCGTGAATTGTAACTTCTGCCAATTCACGACACAGCGCGACCACTAGCCGATGTCTTCGGCGAGTATTTGTCCTCACACCCGACCTGCTGCACTCCATTGGTCACGATTTCTCACTAGAGCCCCAGGTAACTACCTATCTGAATAGGTCAAGTCGCTAGTGAGCATCTCATCGATATCCAGTGGCTTAATGACTTACGAGCTTGCATTGTAACCAGAAGGTCATGGGTTGGAACCCCAGTGGGTGCGTACTGCTGAAGAGTCCCAAACTAGGACAAAACAACTGTCCAGTACTCCCAGGTTTTCCAATGGTTCTCTAACCGATGTCAGCTCATGATGAAATCCTGTAACCAATCAAACCCCTGCCAACCAACACTTGAATATTGAGGTTGGGTGTCGAGTCCTAGGTAAGGAGTGGGAATCAATTGACGAGGTTGTGGAGCAGCTACATCGATTGAGATAGTTAGGACATGTGTTACGCATGTCTAACCATCGCCTTCCTCGACAGGCAATATTGGCCGGCATAGGATCAGGTTGGAAAAGAGTTGGCTAGTGGTGATCAAACCAAAACATAGCTTCATCAGTCGGTCATGTAAGGAGGCGTAGGCTTCATGGTTGGAGTTGTCGGGATAATAAAACCAATGACTGGAGACAATCGGTGATATGGCTCAAGATCGCTCTTAATGGTGCGGATGCATTCACGCTTTATGATTTATCAGATCCAATAAAATTCTATTGTTCTTCTATATTACTCTTCCGTCTCCTTGACACATGTGTTTATCATCTCTCTTTTGAATCTCTGTTTACTCTCTTCCCTTGTTTTATGTGCTACAAGGAGGGAGAGTGGTAACTGGAACTGCTGCACATCTGTGCGAAGTTCTATATTGAAACCAGTCAGCCAGTTGTACCCTGTCAATCTCAAGTGATAGATTCATGTACTGTGTCGAACTTTATCTTTCAGTGATCACTTGTTGGTGTTACTCCTTATGCAGTGTATTTTTCATCTGAACTCATTTGTCTAAATTTATTACGCACTTTATTTCTTTAAATGACTGATAAGTACTTAAGTGAAACCTTCGAAAATTAAAATTTTATCCAGTGACAACACAAAATCTATTGATCTAAAATCTAATCATGCTTCTAGGGAGTTGTTAATGAAACAAATAATTCGTTATTGTGCTATCTCTGTTCTCCTGAATTTTTTAGATATGGCATTTTACTTCTTTCCCTTCAATTCTAAACACATTTAATTGAAATATTCCCTTTACAATGTATGTTTGGAAGTTTATTGGCAAGTGTTGTTGCCGATCGTAGGAAGCCGACTAAAGCTGAAAAATGTCTCAGATACCTAGACAAATATATACCACGGGCTTTTAATTCAAATTCCCTACTTACAATTTACTCAGTTTCAAGTGGAATTTCACCACAGTTTACTTTGTAAGCCGAAACTGTTCAGATGACAATATGTGATCTGTTGGTATTAGATGGTTGGAGGCAATCGCAAGGAAGCCTTGGACCTAGGTTTCGTGCTATTTGGCACTCATCAGCAAGGCGTATCTGCAACCTTGAAGGAACTGATGTCCTTTCTGAGATTCGAACCCGCGTCACCCAGTGCTGCAGTCAGAGACCTTACCACTGAGCTATTCAGGCTCGCGACTGACCTCCTGTAGGACTATATTGCATATTTTTGATTGCATACTAGTCAGTAACATGACTGATAAAATTCAGTCTGCACCGAAGATAGGACTAGACACATTACACTAGTTACTGACTAGTGTGCAATCAAAAATATGTGACCTACTTGATATCATAAATGACAATCAATAGTAATTCAACCATAAATGCCTGGCTCTATATACTACTGATTGATTGTGATGAGTAATTGGATAGCACTCACATCAACCAGTAGAGTTTGTTAGCCAGATCGAAATTATTGAAGTGAGTGGTATTCAACTGCTAATCTCAATCAACCAGTAGTATATGGTATCACGCTATTTGATTAAAATGTAGGCGTACCCGCGATTGAAAAGCACTTACTGTTTAGCATTCTGCATTTCACACTAAACTCACTGACCGGAATGTTACTGAATAGCTTGTTGGATATGATGTCAGATCGATGGAGAATGTTATCCTGGTACACATATATATATAAATACCCTTCACGTTCCCCAGTGGAACATGGGGCTTCAAGCTAAAGACTTGAAGTTTCTGTAGCAGTGTTTATTTTACAGGATGGGGTTACTAGCCTCATGCCTAACCTTTCTTCTTCACCAGCATTATTTCTGGCTGAGCGAGGTAAAGGAGTGCGTTGGCCGGGGATCGAACCCCAGACCGTGTGCATGGTCGGCGAGCGTCCTAACCGCTATGCCACCGACGCACATATATATATATATGCGTAGAGTGCTAATATTGTTCCTGTACAAAATATCATTAAAGAAACCGTTAGGGTGTCCTTCATGAACATTTTTCTAAAGGTCAGATGTTCAGATTAATGTGAAGAAAATTTTGCGTTTAGTTAAAAATTGTAACATTAATGCATGATTCTAATACTCTAACCTCCTCAGTTTCTTAAATCTATCCGTCAAATGTAATTGTTTTTTCTTTTCATTGTCTCAGTAGTTTTTGCTATAAGTAAAGTGTTTCTTTTTTTAAAATCTTTCAGTGTAACTATTGAGGACGTGGTTTATGTAATTGATTGCGGTCGAATTAAAGTAACCGATTATGATCCAATACAGAATACATGTACACTGACACCTATTCTTGTCAGCAAAGCTAATGCATCTCAGCGTTGTGGAAGAGCTGGCCGGTATGTTCGATACACTATTTTCTATTTATTTTATTGAACTATAATTTGTGAAATAAAATAATGCGTGTATGCATTGGTTGGGAGTTTATCCTCATTTATATTTCTTTAATGTAACACGCAAAGAATAATTAAGCATTTCTTTTCTAAACTTCCTCCCAGTTAATGCTCTACCCACTTTATTACTCCTTGTTTTAAGGCTATTGTTTTGAATTTTCTTAGGAGTTAATTGTCCATATGTGACCTGTTTTACATTTTGCTATTAATTGACAATTAATATAGCTTTCTACCTTAGTAAACGTTTCACATGATAAATTATTATTATTCAAAGGCACGTATTTAGTAATTTCCTTGATGGACAAAATAAAGTACTTTAGTGAACAATATGCCTAAATTTATATATTCCTTTTGGTAGTGTACTTCAAACCACATTTCAGTTACTAGATGTAACATTTTATAATTCAAACCACGTAGTAATATATAAAAGTATCAATGATGAACTCTTCTATGGTTAGCTTCTTAAAAAAAGAACTTAACTGTAAATCTTTACATTCAGCTAACTGGATACAGTTCAGGTTTCATAGGCTTCCTAGAATGAAAGTGGTCTCAGTTGTTGATCAATCACCACCTCCGGACGTATTATGTATAATTTCATTTGAAGGACAAATCCCTTTAAGAATATAGGTATGTCTATGAGAAAGTTTAACAGTCTTTGATTAAATTACTGAATAAACACAATAAAACCAAATACATGAATGATACTACATCATGGTATTATGCTATACTATTATTCTGTGTGTTGTTAAAACGTTACAACTCCAAGGTCTTGTGTTATCAAAGGCGGTTGATAGTTGAAACACTAGGTTTACGAACAAAATCAAATTTTGGTAACTATGTTTTAGTGCTGCGTTAATTATCAGGCAATTAACCTCGGGTTCTAGTGGGAAATCGTGACCAATAGGGTACACCAGGTTGAAGATGAGGCAGTCACTCATTGAAGAAGACATTGCGAAATGGTCGTGCTATGTCGTGAATTGGTGGAAGTTAGAATTCAAGGACCATTGGATCGGGTCCCAGTGGCTCAATGGTCTACGAGCTCGCCTTGTAACCAGAAAGTCCTGTGTTCAAACCCCCGTGGGTGCGTACTGATGAGGAGCCCCAGACTGTGACGAAGCAGCTGTCCAGTACTCCCAGGTTTTCCAGTGCTTCTCTAATCGATTTCAGCTCATGATGAAATTCTCCATGCAACTATCTTATTCCTTATCACCCAACATGTAGTCTTTTTGGTGCTTAGGCATACTGTCAACCTAACTTAATTATTTCATTTCTTTGTTGTGGATTCAACTCAAATGTGGCATTTCAGAATTTGGATATTAAAGTGGTCACGAATTTTCAGCATTAGTTGCATGCTTAGATTGGAAGCAGACATACAGAAGTTAAATATACAGGCGGATAAATATAATTAGTGAGTGATTGAATTCTAGGCATGTGGCTAAATGATCAGAGCGACCGACTTTGGAAGCGTATTGAGTGCATGCCTGTGAAAAGTCCCAAATTTAGAGCAAATTAGCTGTCTATTGTTCATCAGTTTCCAGTTATTCTCAAACTGATGTCAATTCAAACTGTAATTCACGTCGGTATCAGCCGATTCCCTGCAAACTGAACATTGGTATTAAATCTCAGCTGTTTATTTATCATATAAATATATTTGTCTGGTCATTTCCCTTATTGCTCGTTAGCATGAAGGTTCACATTGATTTTCCTAGTTATTTAATGCATATAATTCTTCCTTAACCTTATTCACCTACCTATTTTACGAATATTATATAGTCAATCGTCTGTTAGTACAACTTAATAAGATGTCCAACAGTATTCTCAAACTGGTGATCACTTTATTGCTATTCTTACTAATTGTGTATAAAAAGGCCTTTGTTTGTATTCTCATTTTTGTGTGATGAGTGAGTTGGGTGAGTTCAGTAATTTTGGCGGGGAACTCTGTCAAACCATCCACTAAAACTGTCCTATGTCCACTTAGTACGCATTCATTTTCATGTTAGTTTCATACATTAGACGTAAAATTCCCCATAAAAATGTTTAATTTACCCACAAACTCATTGTTATTGTATTGAAAATATTCATAAGAAGCTAGTGTCATTTTTGTACTGAATTTACGAACTCTCAAGATACATTTATGTAAATTTATGATAAGTTGGCACACATCAAGCTGTAGAGTAGTAAGTCATCAAACCTTTACTTTTTTTAAACTGGTTATATTCATAAATGTGTCTATCGATTAGCATAATTATACCTGCTTATAATTGATCCTGGTTACCGTTTTCCTCTCTATATAAGGTGCTTTCTTGTAAGACAGTGTAACAGTGAATATGTAAGCACTGGAATCAGTGATATTACTAAAGATTTGTAACTGTTTCAAAGTCGGAGACTAAATGAGGATTAGATTATGTATCATTATGATTTAGTGAAAATAATTATAGGTGTATTAATGTCATATAAAAAGAAAGGGTCAACAAAGTGACTGGATGCAAGTACTCTTGGGTGGCATAATTATTTATGTAAACCTCAAATTAGGTACGAGATCAGGTGAATGTAACCCGGTTGCTTATATTTATGATTAAAAGTCTGCTGAAATTTTAACCCATTCGCATTAAATTCATGATTTCATAGCTGATATTCCTTGTTGCTATTGTCCTTAAACCTTCATTTTCATCGTACAACATACTACTGAGTGATCACATGGGCATATTGAATGTCTTATAAGTTTTTGAGATGCTTAATTTATTATCCTCACCTATTAGATTGCGTTACATTAATTAAAGATAATAGAGCATCCCCATCTTAAGTCAGATTTCGTCAATGAATACAAATCACTTAGAAACCCAGTTGACACAAAGGAGCAGTACACATCTGTTTCGTTTTACTGTAGGACTACCAGGTCTTTCAGCGAGTAGCCAGTAGGATCATATTCGGTGCCCCATATATCCCTTATAGAACAATCGTCATCTAATGCTAACGAGGAGTCTTCTCATCGAATTTTATAGACACTAAGAATTAATACTTAAACTCCGGGAAATCCATTGCATAGTTAGTTACTGATGGGCGAATGGTTGATCTTTAGATGCTAAATATCTTCTTATAACTTTGTTTGGGACCATCAAAATAAAGCTGAGAAACTAAACTAAGTACTGAAAAGTGATATCTTGCGTTAATATTTATTTAAAAGTTAACTCAGCTTTTACAATAAGCCATTGTTTTTGATTGAAAGTTCTTATGGTTGATGTTTTTTTTAAGAAAAAAGAAAATCACATGCAAATTGTAAATCTGTCTGTCGGAGTGATTTGCTTATGTGCATTTATATCTTCGAAAAATATTTTTGTTGAGCAGAGCTTTCTTATGATCTTTAAATAAAATCATGGTTTGAAAGAAATTCGATGTAGAGAGAGAGACGTTTCCTTTCATTTTTGAATCGTCCCTCGTCTTTTTTTCTAAATTTTTTTTAATGAATGTTTTATATGAATATGTTTTATATGCACATAATAACTTCACAACACTACTGATTTGTGTATTTACTATCTGCATACATTTTCAGTCATCCGTGTGTATTTTTGCTATTCATTCACTTCTATTGGCAACAGTTTAATAAATGTTAGTTACAGGACTTCATCATGAGCTGACATCGACTAGAGAACCATTGGAAAATAGGGGAGTACTGACAGCTGTTTCGTTCTAGTTTGGGACTCTTCAGCAGTACGCACCCACCACAGAGGTTCGAACCCAGGACCTTTTAGAACCAATCAATCAAATCCCTACAAAACATTACTTGAAATGTTAGTTAGTTTGAATTTGGTTTATGTATTGCAGACACACAAGTACTATTTCGCACTCATGCGACTATATTTGTCCTTTATTGCCACATTAGTTTCCACATATCCTAGTGAGGTTAAATAATTATACCAAAAGAAACACACTGCGTTGGGAATCGGTTATCTGCTTTGTGTTTCTGTGACTTAGGCGAACTCAAATTATCGATATGTTAAAACTTCAGAAATCTCACCAAAGTGTCTATGGTGCACGTGAACTCGTTGTATGATCATATGTACCTATTCGTAATATCAGGCTACTCGTGATTTCGTATCATCTGTTCTCTTTTATATTCTATTTCCTTTGAGATAGTTTGAATTGCAACTAGTCAGCATAATCTTACTACATACTTAGTGGCTAAGGATACAGACTAATATTCATCACTTAGCGACTGAGTTATAATTGTAAACTGTATTGCAACGCTGTCTTGCTGTTGTTTTCTAGAATTTATATTTCATCCTTGTCTCCTGCTTTGGTCGCCATTGTCCCGTTGCTACCAAACAAATGTCTTCAAAACATTAACGCATGGCAAATAAAAAAGGTTATATTTAGTAAAACATTCAACACACAGTTGGCGACAAAATATTTTTGGTGAAATTCACCTATCACCATCTCAATCCTTTATTTTTATTGATTTTCGTTCACAGCATTCAGTTTACTAGACGAATTACATCTCTGTGCAGTTAGTTATTCCCCGTGTTTGTATTCAGTATCCTTTTATTTCATTGTAAATTGTTTTGCATCAATTAGATGATCGATCCTTACTTATAAGTTGTCCTTTTATCGGAGGTTTTTATGCATTCAATTTTTAATTTGCATTGATCAATTCTAGAGAATAGCCATATGAGTGGTGAAAGAAAAAATAATTCTTTTCAGTTGACCTCAAGTAGGACATGAATATTGATTTTTTTTTCTTCCTGTAAATATCCTACTTACTAAATGAAAAACCTAATAAAACTTATATTTCATTCTGAATTGTAGTGCTGCTTTTTTGTCCTCCTGGAATTAGACATTAGTCTAAATTATTTATATGCATGTTACACTTATTATCATCTCATGAATCACTACCACTCCTTGTTTACTAATATATCTTCTTTATTTTAGCGTATATCAGTTTCTAGTTTATTCAAGGGGGCTTAATTTGTTCGCATCACCTTCCTAGGTTGTACGTCTGCTTTTGACTGTGTACCTAGGAGTATTTTGTTAAATAAGCTTGCTGCAACTCAAACTGAGTGTTGGGTTGTTAACTGGCTGCATTCTTATTTCTTAGGAAGAAAGCAGTACACTGTATGTAAGGAAAAAGGCGTCCACTTCATTGCTTACTGAGGCTGGTGTCGCTCAAGGCTCTGTTCTTTCTCCTTTTCTGTTTTCTTTCCTCTTGCATGACTTACCGCACTCTGATGAAATGAACTTTGTTAAGTATACGGACGACCTAACTGTTTCGGTGCCATTTAACTCCCAGCTAGATTGTACTGAGATGAACAGCTTTCTATCAGGAATCAGCAAATGGTCTTAGACTAAATCCTTATAAATGCCAGACTGTTAATTTCATTTTCCGATATAAAAGAAAGTTAAATGAAGTTGTTAATTCCTTTGACTGTTGCAAAATTGATGATGCTGGTGTAGAAATCAATTCTGACTTTAAGTATCTTGGACCGATTCTTTCTTCCGATCTATCCTGGTGTTCCCATGTCTTAGTGATTTCTAAAAAAAATATTCCGTCTGACTTCTTACATTAAAAAGCTAAGGCACTCAGGCATAACTTAATCTCTCCTCTTACAGTTTGTCAACTCTTTCACTTACCTATTCTTCTTGATTGTTCACTTTTATTCTCTCCTAGGTTGCTTAGAAAAAGACTATGTCATACTTCGTAGGACTCTGAAAACTGTCAATACGGCGAGTGGTTTCCCATTGGGTCATATAGTTGATACCGTCAATGATAGGCACTTGATTTCATGCAACAAATTTGCTGAAGGAATTTTGTCATACTGTGAGTATCCACTCTACCCACAGCTTTCACCTTGTATCTCCTCAAGTAAAACAAGAAGTCATTTCAAAACACGTTACGTGCGCACGTCTAAGTAGATGAAATCCCACGATACCATAGTTGGCACGTATTTTATGTGATGAAAATAGTGTCAAGCATGAAGTAATTAACCTCCTTTCGACTAGTAAATAAACAATCTTCTCCATCTTTATTCCACCAAGCTTTACTGTTACTATTCATCTTATATTTATAGTTCTCTCATTTCTTGTTTATTTTTTTCATAAGTGTAAACACTATTTAAGCTCAGTAATAATTGTTATTTTTTGTCTTCGCCTCACCATGCTATATCAAGAGAACATTAAATCTAATACTCTAAAACATGCTAACATCTCCGTATTGTGTTGACAATGTTGTTTGAAACTAACAGACTATTAATATTAGTATGATTATTATTATTATTATTACGGTCATTATTCTCATTTTAATACTTTGCACACTTTTGAGATTATTCCTACTGCAAATTTGAAAACGTTCTTAGGGTTAATGTCATTTATGTTGAGTAAATTAGATACAGTATTATGACAAATGCTAAAGATTCAATGTTGTATTAAAAGTACTGTTTGCAGAATGAAGCTTATTATTATTATCATTACCGGGGTCTTTTTCTGTTGGTTGATAGATTAACAGATTAAGCTACAATTATCTTGTCCTTCCTTTTCAATAAAGTTTACCAAACGTTGAATTATCTGAGATTTCTGCTTTAGGATACCATTTGACTTACTAAACAATCCCCTATTTGAAAAATAAGTAAGTGTAGAAATTATGGAGAAAATTTGCAGTCCATGGGTTTAGTTCAGCTAATGAACCATCTAGCTCAGAGAATACAACTACACCAATAAAAATTAGTTTCATTACAAGTTTAAACGAACACTTAATTGTCTAGTGGATTAGACAGTTCTACGTATACTCTCTGCATTCCAGCATCACCTCATTAAATAAAACAAAACTTAGAATCTAAACACAGTTTTCATTCTCCTCTATGCAAACAATATATCTCAGTGTATCTATTCAACTACTTTATCGATAAGTTGTTTATAGTATACCATTGTGTTTTATTATATTAATCAGTTTAAACTTTGAAAATAACTTTTGTGTTTATACATTTTTTTAATTACTCTTAGTGTCCAGCCTGGTATTTGTTACCATTTATTCTCAAGTTATGTTTACGATAATGTGATGTCAAATTTTCTACAACCGGAAATGCTACGTGTTCGTTTGGAAGATGTAATTTTGAGAATAAAGGTAATTAGAACTGTCATTCATTGCGAGTGTATTGACTATTAGATGTTATATAGATTCTATCCACCGATTTATTAAATTCTCAAGCGTGTTTTGAATGGTAATTGACTATTAGCTAACTATAATATTTATTTGGACAATCATACTCCATCATATTTCCATGTTAAATAAGTTCCTGTCCACACTCTAGCTAACACCTTGCTATTTATTAGTCTACTGTACGGTAAATTCTGCTTATTGCTACTTTTATTGATTGCATTGGTGTATTTCGTGGTCCTCATACCCGAAGCTGTTTTGAAATAGTTATCAGTATTCTTCGTAATGCCGTATTAGTCAATGGAGAGGCAATAGTGTGTTATTTCTTAATTATACGGACAGCGAAACAATGGGTTATCCTTTTACAGATATCTCTCACGCCTGCATCATTGGTCATATATACATATATATATATATATATATATATATATGTATAGGTAGCTGTGGTATGCTCTGTTGGCGTTAGATTGGGGATATTCGTGATCACCGCATCTGTGTCTGTGGTGTGTGCTACTGGTACGATTTATCAGTGGTATGTAAAGAGATGTCATCAGCATGAAAACATCAAATAGCGGGAAGATAGATTTCTCGTCAGGGAAAGCAAATGATTCAGCGTTGTGGAGATGCATGGGAGACGTGAAAGGAACTCAGACACACAATATGAAGAACAGAAGTATCACGACACGGAAGATCTGTGCAAATGATGATTTGAAGATAAGATGTAGATAATTTAGATACATAGAGATACCAAATTGCAGAGGGAAACATTCCTTTACCAAGTCTCTTGCCTTCTACCGTTACATGTCTAGCTCGGTGTGCCTATTCGGATCGACGTATTTCGACGTGGTGATAACATAACACTTATTTCCGTTCTTATATCCGATAGAAATATTTTTCACGGAATATACACATTGGGTCATAGGAGTTAATAAAAAGACAACTGCAGCGAAGAAAATTTTCTTTTCGACGAAGTCATCATCTAGGCTGTACATTCGTGTATTTATATCAAATGGATGGGAAAGTTCCAGAATAATTTCTGGTTAGGGGTCAAATTAATAAAAAATTACAATTAGGAATTAAAATGACATAACAAACAGGGGGGATGGGTAAAACTCAAACAAAGTAGCATAATAACTAAGAAGATTGACATTGTGCAATTGGGGGTTAGAAATGTAGAAATAACAAAATATACAGGATGTTTGGATAAAAAACTAATATGATGAATAATTGTTTATGCAATCAGGGATTAAATATGTAGAAATAGTAAAATGACAAAATAAACAGGAAGAGTGGGTATGAAAATATGGTAGTGTAAACAGGGTTTAAGAAAACTTAAAATAACATGAATAAACAGGAAGTTTAGATAAGAAAGGCGATGAGATTGTCATTACTAAAAAATTTTACCTGTTTATGATGGCCATGGTAGGGAGAGGGGTTGGACGTAATTCTTTTGGATACAAAGTGTGGGTTTGAGCTTTTGGATAGCTAGCGCCTCAGCTATGCCCAGATGTCTTGATTTGATTCCCTTTGATAGGTTTGATTGAATTTTGTATATTACTTTGAAGGATTTTTCGAAAGGCGCTGAATGTCCTGAGTTGACCAGATGTTCTGTCACTGAACTGTATACACGTTTTCGGTCTCCTTTTACTAGCCAGGCTGGGTAGTGTTCGCGAGCGCGTTTTTCAAGTCGGCGCATGGTACGGCCGATGTACTCAGCTCCACAAGAGCAAGTAAACTGGTATATGCACGTTGAGGTGGCCCAATGCGACGGCCTGTCTTTCACGTTCTGGCTGAACAGTTTCTCAGTAATGACTTTTCTGAACGACTGATTTCACCAGGCGAATTGTTTAAGCGCATAGTGCAATCAATTGATTCGAATCGAAATAGAATGGTTGGCTTATTTGTCTGTGTAGATTGTTTTAACTTGTCTCGGCGAAATAAAGATTGAATATGAGTTCTGTATTAGTATACTATTTTGATTCAACATTAATCAGTAACAGGTATATTGTGTTTGGTCCTATCGTTGGTGCAGACTGATATCTATCAGTCAACTTTTCAATGTGGTTACCATGCTAGTTGGCTCGCCATCACGGTGCACTGTGAGTTGTTGATATTCGAAGTTTGGACACCATCGGCAGGAACCTAGGTTTCCTGCTAGATGGCACTCGTCAATTAGGTGTATCTGTAGTCTTGGAGGAACTCATGTCCCTTCTGAGATTCGAGCCCATGCCACCCAGTGCTGCAGTCAGAGACGTTACCACTGAGCTATTCAGACTCCCGATTGGCCTTCTGTTGGACTGTATTGGATATTTGGATTGGAAACTAGTCAGTAACTAGCGTGATTTGTGTAGTCCCATTTTTTGATGCAGACTGAATTCTGTCAGTCACGTCTGTTATGTAGCAAGAGAGACGAAGTTGGTCAAACTGAACTAGCTGCACATACTACCTACTATTCGAAACAACTGTATTGTTGTATTCATTTTTGTGTATGCTTTTTATGCCTTCGTCAGTTGACTTGGTTGTCATGTTACTGTATTTTAGTCAACCACTAGTTCGTAATAGTCAATTTCTAATTTTCCAAATGACACGGATGTTTGGTATATTTTATGTCTATCCGTCCCTGTGTAAGGTGAAAATGTTTCATCTAATCTATTGTCTCTGTCAATTGAGGCATATCATGCCATCTTTCAGTGGGATCAAAGAATTAGAAGTCGACTGTACTGGATGGGATGTGGACTGTTTTTCTGACACATCGTTTTTTAACTTTTTTGAGATTTATTGTGAACTTCTTTCTGTAATAGGAAAGCTTGGAGACCTACCCATTGCTGTTTTGGAAATTCTTTGTTACCATTCATTACCGAAGTCATATTGTCGAATAGGGTGGCGCCATTAGTTTTACTTTTTCCAAATTTAACTACCATTATTAGAACTATAGGTTTTTCGGCGGTTATTATATTACGTCTGATGTAATTTTCAACATATTCTCATCTTTTCTTATCTTATTGAATCAAGGAATGTTGTCAGCTACAGAAAATTTGTATGTGAAATTGTGTTGTATCGCTAGTTGGTTCATGTCAAAATTGCCGGTGTCCAGAATATAGTCATACATATGTAATCAATAATAACTGTTGCATCAGCCACATAGCTATGTACTATTAAAATCATTTGCACACGTGACTATGGTTTCCATAATTTCACTATGAATTTTGTTAATATTGTAAAGTTTCTCAACTGTAGCTTCTGTTTTTTGTTTCTCATTCATTCAGTTATTAGGTCTTGGACGAGTTAAGCCTTTCTTGACTAGTTGCCTTGATTCTCCATCTGAAGACGCTATATCACAAACACTAACATTTCTCAGACAAATTCAAGCTTTGAAAGTAACACAACCGCAGACATGCTGTGACATTTCATTGAAAAATCACGGTAAAAATCATAAAGCAAATCGTAAATCCTTAAGAGAATATACAGAAGCTGTTAAAAATAATGTAAATGCCAATGGTGTAGATTCTTTGGATCCAACTAGTTTTCAACTGAATATAACAGATGAAGAAGATGACGAATTAACTCCACTCGGTGTTCATCTTGCTAACTTTCCACTTGATCCACAATGTGCTAAACTCTTATTATTTGGAGCTCTGTTTGGTTGCCTGGACCCAGTTTTGTCTGTGGCCGCATGTCTAACTTACCGGGATCCATTCGAAATACCTTTGGAAAAACAAGAAGAGGCTGATAAACGTCGATTAGAATTATCACAAAACTCCTTAAGCGATCACTGGGTGTATGCTACAGTTATTCAAGTGAGATTATTTTCTTTTAATTTCAAGCCTAATATTCAGAATTTGATTTAATTTATCATAATTCAGACAGCTAATCATGTAAAACATTATTTTCTTAGAAAATTTATGCACACTTTCAAGGGGTATAATTGCCGACTTATGCCAGTGGGTTGTAATCAACTGTAATTGGTTAACCGAATTCAGGTACCAATTTACTTAACCTTCTCAGCTTTCTGATTGCTTCCCAGATGGTTTCACATAATCATAAAAAGTATATCCTGACTAAACTAAATGGCACAGGAAACGATTCATTAACTCGGTGGAAATTAAGTGGCAGTTCTTTTCTTTCCAGGGTAGATGAAATCATCATTTTCGGTTTCTAAAAATTTATTTTTGAATTTATTAAATATATGATTCACATTATTTAATAAAATCCAAGAGAAAACCGTTTGTAAATTTAAGAGTTCTTGGTGTCTTTCTTGTCCTTGTTTAAAATTTTACTAAACCTCTAAACAAAGATATAAACGTAAAACTGTATACGGAGTGATCGTGCTTTAGAATGATTAACTGTACCAAGATAAGTAATTTAGAAAAAAGCTCGTCAGTTGTACTGCAAACATTAACACAACCACACAATAGAGTGGGACAGAGTACAATTCTAAGAAGTAATATAGGTAGGTGGAGAGAGATTGACTGCTGAATCTTTGTTCATAGGATCTCTACACCCGAAACGTGCAATAGGAATGACTTATCACTCGTACCGGAAATATGGAAAATACTACTACCAATCAAGTCAAACGATAAAAAATAACGGAATTATCTAAACGATGTTAGAAAGTTGTGTGTGTGCCTTGATATGATTATGAGCGATAAATTGTGCTCGAAATGTCGTCATCAGTAAATATTATTGTATAACATTGTGAGAATTTATCAAAATAAATTTTACCCACAAGGGGAAATCCAATGAGCATAAATTGATTGAAGCCAAGTAACATAAAAGGTGTATGTGCGTATGTAATTACCAAGAGAATTTAGTTGAAGATTAGTGAATCTGTTCAGTATTTCAAAGATGATAAGTAGCAAGTACATTTGCACCACAGTGCTGTGTTAAGCTATTTCAATCCATATTATCATCCATATGAACCCAGGTAGACAACCTATTCGTGCCTACACGACTCAGATTATCACCCAGAGGCGTAGTGTATTGGAGATAGGAACGAATAATTCAAAAGATTTTAGATGAGTATTTTCTGCCTAATGTACTGTCGTTATGTTTTCCTATGAACACTTTGAACTTTTTTCTAATTTGGCCCTGCATCAAGTAAAGTTGCTTGTTGAGAAAACAGGTAGCTTGGTATGTGTTTTATTTGTCCCAACCACTTCATTTTGTGGGGGTTTACAATCTCCAGTAATTTGGCTTGATAACTTCATATCGCATACGCCTAGTCTTTACATTATTTGAATTCGTGATTCGTTTTAACGCAAGCAATCGTATGAAGCCTTCTATAGTCGAGAATATACTCCTTTTATGTTTTCTAAGTCTAGTAATGGCGGACGATAGTTGTAAAATTCGACAGAGTATGCTGTTCCACATTAAACTTGCTCTTTTATTGTTAGTTGGATATGTCTACAAACTCCAAAGATTAATCAGATTAACAAAAATCAACAAAACAGTTCAAGTTTTTGTTTTAGCTTTATTTATAAATACATCTTGCTGTGAGTCGGTGGCTTAGCAGTAGAACGCTCGCTGACTATGCATGTAGTCCAGGGTTCGATCCTTTGTCAACGCATCCCTTTACCTCGCGAAGGCGGTGATATGACCGGTAAAGAGGGAAGGTTGGGTAGGAGACTAACACCTTCACCACCCTTCTTATTGAAACCTCAAAGCTCTACCATGAGGCCTTAATATTCCCTTGGGGACGCAAAGGAATAAAAATAAAACTGTAAAAAAATCAGCTCCTGTAATCAAAATTATTGTAGATAATCTAATCAACAAACTATAAGCCGATCTCTGAATTTTTTGTTTCTTTTATTTTACGCATAACATTTTGTAGAACTATCAAGGATTAAATTCACCTTTTGAACGTCGACAGTTCTGTCAAAAATACTTTCTTAATGAACGTACAATTAAAGTAAGCACACATACTACTTATCATTTCACATTATTTTTTAGCTTTTAATTTTATTTTTGATTGATGTTGAATGTGTTTTTTTCAAATTTTATTTTGTCTCTCTTCATATCATTAAAATGTGTACTCTTTTCAGCACTATTAACTTAATTTTTCTATCTTATCATATGATTTGATAACCAAGTTATTAGAATTTATTAATAATACCGTTAACTCTAAACTGGCATTTTCTTTACTTTCCTCATGAATCTGTTAATGAGTTATGCATTGTAGTAAGACAAAACCGTGTGTGTTTATTTAAACTATTTTAATTGAGATGAAGTTACTGTTAAGTTAAATTAAATCAATATGAAATGAAATATTCTAATTATATCAAAAGTATTTTTGCCTAATAGAGAGAAGATTTGTAGCTCAAGTGGATGATTTACAATTAGTAGTGCTGTCTGAGCTGGTTGATTTGGTCAATACATATATATAAAGATGGTTACCGGGAGACGCAATTATATCACTCATGAAGAAATTTAAATCATTTCACTTTATGCTAAATATTACGCTGAAGATATTGTCCAGAAGGACGACGAAAGCTCCGCAATCAAACAAACCAGCTCAGAGAACACTACTAATTGCAAATATTTTTGCCTGTTGTTGTTGTTAATATGCTGCTCTGTTCACATGTGCGTACTTGCGTGTCCTGATCTGTTACAAAACTCGATCATTTCTATTCATTTAGAGTGAAGCAGATAGTATTTTTGTTTTGTAAAACCTCATAGTGTGTATTGAACCGTAGTGAAGAGTTTATTCAGTTGGCAGTATTTCCATAGCGTTAGAAACAGAATTAGATTTGATTTTGTTGATGTTTATAAAAATTCATCGATTTCTAATTTGAATTAGTTGTCCAGTCCTCCGTTATTTTCACTGCTTTTGCAAATAACGTAGACTTTTGTTGTAAGTCGTTGTTACTTTTTTAATCTCAATTATCCGGAACAGATTTTTTTTTCACTTACCAGGCTAAGGGCCAGTAGTAGTTTCGAAGGGTAATGATACTACCCAGTTTCCCAGACTCAAGTAGGTGGAGTGGGACTCGGACCTGTGACCACGCATCTCAGCTGAAAACCTAGTGCTAAAGCCATTGTGTCACATCCCTGATTTTGCTTTGATCAGGCATGAGCGACAGGCAATGTTGAGTTTGGTGTTGTTGTTTTTGTCTGATTTTGTAAATCTATTCATCATTACGTTCACGTAAAATTGTGATATTCATACAAGAGGTTTTCTTTCTTTTCACGGCTATCCATGTGATGTTTCTACAAAAGTTCACTTTATGAAAAGCTACAACAGATGAAAGCATCAATTACTACAGTTGTCATTATATTTAGGAAGGTTAGACGTTTAACACATAATAGTTGTTCTGATAAACTTTACGTGACGAGCCTTATAAATACGCAAGATACGCATATTTTTTTAATGTACATAAAAAGGGCTTTTTGTCTTTAAATAATCTTAAATACCTTGTTGTAATTGGTGCTTTCAAAAATTTTTTTTAAGAATTTAGTAGAAATCAATTAATTACAGAACGTTTTCCCACACGTGAAAGTCATGTGTCTCCGTTAGAGCTGTATAAACACATGTGGTAAAACTGACATTCTATGATTAGAAAACTAAAGTTCTACCAACCTAAAAACTATTTGCGTTTAAATATTTTGTTTATTTTTTTATGAACAATAAATAACCTTGCTACGGGGATATAGTAGATTCTGTAAAATAACTGTACATATTATCCAAACTAACTACACACGCTGAAAGATTCCTAGATTATCGCTCAGCTCATCCACTCACGGTAAAATGAGGATTAATACAAGGTCTTGCAGATAGAATACGTAGACTCACAACAACACCAGAGGACCAGCGTGAAGAAATAGACGTCCTATTCAAAATGTAACTCGACAACAACTACCCAAAAGAATTTATCAAAGATGATATAAAAAAATAGGGTAAAACTGGAGAATGACAAGACGCAAGAATGCGAAAAAAACAGTCATAATATCATACAAAAATGGTACATCAGAGGCAATTCGAAGAAACCTCAAAAACATTTGGATTCGCACAACGTTCAAACCGACGAATCTAATTAAAAATAAAATAAATCAAGTGAAAGATCCCATAAAAATGATGGATAAAAACAATGTGATTTGCAAAATATCTTGTGCTGTCCGACGTCCAGATCACTCCAAATAGGAGTGAATGAATGTAAATGCCTAACTAAAGGTCAACCAATAGGAACACAAGCTTACAAGAATTTAGAAAAAAATTCATCTACAGCTGCACATGCATGGGACAAAAACCACAATATCGATTAGAACAGTATTTGTGTATTCTGAAAGCTAATGTGAACAAATGGAAGGAGAGACTTATTACAGAATCTGTATTCATTAAGGTCACACTGGATACATGTAACAGATGTGACTCAGTACAACTATCAACAACCTGGAATATAATTCTGAATACACAAAAATGAATGAACAAAAAGTGACCTATATATATGAGCACAAATCATAAGTGTGTGAACAAAACAATTCCAACAGTAGTGTGAACATGGGCTGTAATTGTGCTCGAAATATTACAAATAGCAAAACTTATCATTGTGTGTAAACCATTGAAATATAATTATAATTTATTTGATCTATTTCACAATGCTCAAACCTTTTTACTGACATTAATTCTATTAAGTTTTTAAAAATAAATTTGAGCAACTAACTAATCCATTTATTGATTTACTCGTCTATTAAAATAATGAAAAAAGCTTTATATTGATAATCGGTGAAAAATCAGCTTGATTTGTGTGTTATCTGAAGTCTGTTGGTCCATATTAATACGGCACGTCATCGGTAGATTTCGTATGTGACGATAGGTGTATAAATCAGAAGTTCGGTCTCCATTAATTTCTGATGTACGTCTACAGCTATAAGCGCCGAATACTATGTGTATTTCTTGACTCTTAAGTCTCTGCCGAGCTATTTTCTTATGGCGTCTACATAATGTGGTATCCGTCAAAGATATTCACTCTGATTTTACTCAATAGTATACAAGACATGGTTGTTAAAATCGTTTTCCCTTCATGTAGCTGTTACAGGACGAACTTTTAAAGTGATTCATTAGTTAACTTCAACCATTCAGATGCCGGAAATTGTGTTATGCAAATATTGGAAAGTCTTCTAAACCCTTCTTGTAACAATATACAAATGTAAAGGATGCATTTCTCTGTTGTCAAAACACTTTTAGTTGAACAAGCGATGTAAACAGAAGTAAATGTTTATATGCAATGACTTTTTTATAAGTTTATGTTAAAAATATTTGCTTTAAAGCGTATTTAATAAGAATTTCATCTCTCATATGATAGTACCATTCGTGCACTGTAACAGAGAATATTTATATCCTACTATCGTTTTTCAAAAACTGATACAGTTAGCGTATCACCTGCTTTTGTGCAATAAATAGACAAGCTATATTTCCGTTAATTGTCTTTAGTTAAATCTTCGGTACCAACGCTGAAATGCAGTCCGTAAAGTCATGATCTACTTATCACTAGTCCGAATTTATTCCTATTATGATAATACGAAGTCATACAATCTTGTAATATATTATGTTTATTATATTATATTAGGACTTCATTATTAACTGCAGATATTTTTGATGATATGGTGTGTTGGGCTTTAGTTATGATGCATTCACTTGTTGCACTCTGTCTCAATTACTTGTTTTGCTATAGTGTGTTTGGTTTTAATTCGCGTTTCTGTTAGTTCATTAAATAAACTGCCCAACTGAACTTTGTTCATACAGGTAAATATTTATGTTTTCTTTGATAATATGCGTAACTTTATTAAGAAGATATATAGTGTACATAAGTCCCATATGGGAAAACACTAGACATCCCGTACACCTTTTACGCTTTTCCCTTAAAACAAGTTAAGACACAATATTTAATATATTTGACAGGTTAGTAGACAATAGTAACACGTACAAGAAGACGGTGTTCATATCAAAAATGTGATGAGTTTGCTTATCACATTTCGAACAGTTTGATCACACCTCTACTTTTATCAATTTAATTTATATGAAAGTGAGGACAAAGAATGTCTGTTAAAATAAACAAAACAACTGAGGGAGTACTGTTAGCCTGATCGCTCATAAATTATTGATTATTTAAAAAAAAATCGAATCGATTTTTAATGTATTCATTTTCATGTAGATGTGTGGTTCAGATCTTTCGACATGTAATACTCAAATTTATCACATTTTTCAGATAAACTATGTCCTCTAAACAATTGATTAGTGGTAATAATTAATGAGAATTAAAAACAAAATTTGTATTCTTTTGTATCACATATTGTTGCTTTAATAAAATGTAGAGATGCTTTATAACCTGAGCCTCCTTCTTTAGTAATTATTCACCATCAATTCTTGGCCAATTTTAAGGAATAAGTATGCTGAGAAACTAATTTTTATGTCATATCGGCTATTTATGACCATATTCTATAATGATTTACACGCCAAGACTTTTTGCAGTCGTCTCCCAGTCAATATAACTTAATGTCAGTTTACGGTCTATTGGTGGTAAACTAACTTCAAGATTTAATAGAAGTTCTGTGAAAACAGTTACCCACAGATGACACTAGATGACATTAGCATTCTATCATGAATTAGGTGTAGAATATGGAGATATTCGACTTGCCTAGCTACCTAGTTGAAAAGTACTATTGTAACAACGGAAGACAAGGGCCAGGCGACAGATCGTTTATTAAAGAAAATCAACACATATTTATAGATTTTAATGTACATTATTGTAGATTATTGTTAGTAGAAAATGCAGTCTTTTGATTGGTTGTTCCTCACAGAAAGTTAACCTTGCAATTCTTTGTGGCTGTGTCAGATCATCCATATGCTAACTGTATCAGCCTACGCAAAGCCTTTGTTCTCATTTTCTCACCATCAATATTGGGGACATAAACATTGACGTCAATTACTGTCTACTAAATTTGTCTAGCAGCCAGCTCTCACCACGCTATAATCACAACCTCCGACAGTTTTTTTAAATTTGATCTCCATGGGTTGATAAACACTAAGGGTTGAAGGATCTTTAGACGGCACCAAAAGAGGATTAAAAATGCTTTTTGACTTTCTATGGTTACCCACCCAGATGATATTTGTTTGTGTAGAAATCTGTTGTGAAAATCGATTTCTATACCTGCTGAATTATTGTCAATTTTAATTTCTACACTGCCCTCTTTTAACAGCCTGCTGGGGAAATACACAGTAGTGATTGTTGTAAACAGTTGTAAAATACTTTTTTTCATTTCAAATACTATATTCATTTATACATTCGGTTATTTGTTTTTCTCTTGTAGGATATAATTAGATTAATGCAGGATTATGCATATTTGCTATACGAACGAAAGTATATTGCAACGCCCAAACCGAATGACACGAATGCAAATCGTAATCAATGTAAGTTTTTCGAAAAGTATTTTCATCCGTAGCTCTTCTTATTAAGAACACACCAAATCCGTTGATAAAACTGAAGATGAGTCTATAGTTTATCACTGTTATGTACTAACTGATATTACAGAATATTAGATTTATTTTGATGAGAAAGAATATGGTCAGGTCATTTTTATTCAATTATACAAGAGCGACACATATGTACAGTGGTAAAATATAATTCAGTGTTGGTTTGTTCACTTGCTTCAATAGTAATAGATGTTGAATTGGTCGAATAAAATGTTGATTCCATAAACAAAGTGTCAATAGTATATCTTGTTCCACTTAATCATATTAGACTTCCGCCCTATTGCCTCATATAGAATGATTATAGGTCAGTGCATACAGTTTGATAGCTAAGTCTTCTCTAAATTGTTTGTTTACCGAGATTTATCGATTTACATTGAACTAAATTTTTTGTTCACATATTATTCTCAATGACCTCAATCGACTAATTTGACCTGCATACTTCAACTTACAAGTGTTATATATGATTTATGTAAACTAAGGTGAATTATTTCACCCTACAATTTAACAAGTAAAGGGACCAACGTGCTCAATTTGGAAGTGTGATCTAACTCTAAAGATAATCTGCTATACAGTCGTTGGCTGAATTAAATTACGTGTAATTTAATGCTTTGCTTTGGAAAGTTTCTCATCTAGCAGAACAGGGGAAAGCTGTATAAACGAAAATAGGTGAGAAATTTGAGTTAATTATTATTCAGAGATTATAATTTCATTTGTGTAAAATACTAAGCGAGGGAGAAAGCTTCAATTTTTCTTCTACTTGCGCACTGAGTATTTTCATTCAGGCAGTATCTTGTATGTGTTATTCTGGTCTTTTTGTTAGTTACGTAATGGTAGAAGACAAGAGACCTGGTAAAGGAATGTTTCCCTCTGCAATTTGGTATCTCTGTATAGCCAAATTATCCACATCTTATCTTCAAATCACCATTTGCACAAATCTCCCATGTTGTCTTTCGTCGTGTTTTTTCTACGTCTCCCGTGTACCTCCACAAAGCTGAATCATTTGTTTTCCCTGACTTGAAATCTATCTTCCCGCCATTTGATGTTTTTAAGCTGATGAATGTCTCTTCATGTACTACTGATAAATTTTATCAGTAGCACCTGCCACAGTTATGTCTAATAATATTCTTCTTTGATTCGAAGCATTGTAGGTTGAAACTCCGCAGTAACTTCATGTTTTCTTTATAAATGAATTGCTTTTTCTATATATGTCTTCGCCGACTAAAGTAATTCCTTTTACTGTAGGGAATGTCAATCTTTTCCGAGCTATAATGTGTGCGGCATTATACCCAAATATCGTCAAAGCGGATCCAAGATTCACGTAAGTTCCTTATGTTTAGGGAAACTTTTCTTTTCCTATAAATACTTTGCTCGAAACGTCATCAGTAAATATTATTGTATAACACCGTGAGACTGTCAAAATGACTGTTTAGCTGCTTAAAGTAGTAGTGGTGTGGTGGTGTGATACAGACAATGTGTTCCAACTGAACATTATTCTCACATATGTCCACAGTTCAATACTGCATTAGCAACGGAATACTATATATGTATTTGAACATTCTATTTCATGTCGTTTAATGCAAACCGAAGTCATACGCTCAGTGATCAGTTAAAGAATATAAAACTGTATAGATATAAATAGCTGTTTGATCACTTGAAAATATACCTTGGCTTCGGTGTCATGCCTTCTTCTGTTACAGCAGTAATGATAAGTTGTTGTAAGTACGCGCAGAACTGTCGAAAATGTGAGAAGCAGGTTTATTTGGTGTAACGCAAGGCTGTACAGCGTTATTGCTAATGATCATTTTAAGGTATTCACACGGCATTTAACATGTTTTATGTAATTCTGTTCCTTCCTTTTTAAATATGCTACTTTCTTGATACATATATATATATATATAAATGTCATTATTTCCTTTTGCAAATATATTTATGCTAATACTGAGATATACTTTTCGTCTCCCGTCGTTGTATATTCTCACTTATATATAATGGGTTGGCGTAGACAAGCGAATAGCGTTATCATCACATCTCTGTGTTCAACCTCAGTGTCCCTATCCAAAATTCAACGTTAATATTTTTTCGAAATATGATAAGTGAGCATCAGAATTGAAAATTGTGTGCGTTGGTGGCATAGCGGTCAGGACGCTCACCAACCATGCACATGGTCCGGGGTTCGATCCCCGGCCGGCGCACTCGTTTACCTCGCTAAGCCAGAACTAAAAAGCTGGCGAAGAGGAAAGGTTGGGCATGAGGCTAGCAACCCCATCCTGTAAAAATAAACAATGCTACAGAAACTTCAAGCCTCTAACTTGAAGCCCTATGTTCCACTGGGAACGTGAAGGAATAAAAAAAAGGATTGAAAAAGCTGAGGATAAATTAAATTGTCTAACTACTCAGATAAACTGAAGCATACTTGAATAAATCTTAATGAACTCAGACGTACATGGACAGTCTAGTTGTTTATCTATTTTTCTTGAGAACAGTTTTTTCACCAGTTTCTGTTGGTTATTCATGAAAGAATAAAAGTGATAAATATCATGTCTTATTGTTAAGCAAATATACTTAATGTAAAGCAGAGTGTAACTAACATTATAATAATAATAACAATTGAAAGACTTTTACTGCAAAACAATCATTGTTAAAGATACTGAGTAAATTTCAACGTATAATTACTGGTGAAGTGCAGGGATTGTTCTATCTATGAGTTATGTAAGGAAATTACTAATTTAGTACTTAGCTAACTGTAGACTAAACTGATGCTGATGGAGCGAATTTTTATTTCGCTTTCATCGTATGTATAACATAATGTCAATTATTGCCACGATTTATTTGAATTTTTGTGTAAACAAACACCTGTCTGCAAATCGATTCACGGTAATAAGCTTCCTATGTACAAAACATGTAACTCATATAACATAAATGTTGGACAATACAACGGGGAATAGACATACGGTTAAGGACACCGGAAGAACTAACTAAGGTTTAGTAAATTTTCAACAATATGTCTGTTAAGGGTTGAAGTTCTATTCAGTATCGCAGTAATGTTTAATAACATTGTTATATTTTCTTGGAATTTCTGAAAGTAAATTAAACAGCACTTCATCTTTAATATTTTCAGGCTTTCCTCCAGTGCTGCCACTAGTATTTCAGTGACTCCTAACACGAATCAAACTAAATCTTGATTATGAATTCTATTTTTGTTTTGCTGTCTCTTCCATTATGTGTACTACTATTATCCCTATCACCGATTTACATCGTTTGTCCTAACAATCTTATAATTATACCCCGAATCGCCGAATTCAGTAAATACTTAAGTTTTTTCCAACGTTTTTTTCCTTATTAGTATCTAATACAATCTAACGTTTTGCATAAGTTTTGAGCTTCTCTTAAGATAAATTTCCCGAAATAGTAAATTGCTTCCTTCGGCTATACGTTGATAAAAAGTGTAAAGTTGTAGACTGTACAAATCTAAATTGATCGGAGTTTATGCAGCTTCTTTTGTCCATCTCCACGATTATTTTGTTAGATGTACAGTTTATCTAACCTCCAAGTATTCGGAAGAAAACTTGATATCAATTTATAAGACCTTTCACGAGCTTAAATTTTCGTCAGTCTTTTTTAGGTTTTTGTCCATGTATAGCTAGAGCTTCGGCTATGTATAAGTGAAGAAAACGTAAGCTTTTGCAGTGATTGAATTTGGTCCTGTGGATGACACTAAAGGATAAAGGATAACATTAAAAGGATCACCTGGGGCCCCACGTGATTTATTCTTTAAAGTCTCTTTTCACCTAAATTCAGAAGACAAATGTTGCTAGCTGAAATCATTTCATAGTTTCCCTACAATCGTGTTACAACTAGCATGGCTGACTATACTAAAATATCTGACAGTTAATTATGTGAAAATTAAGAGAGACATTAATGATCAATTATGCCTTAATAAAAGTCAAGTAGTCCAGGGTAGACAAACCCCTTGATATTGTTAAAATATTCCAAGAAATGTGATTAAATAAGGTAATAAGAGTAAAAACTCACTCGTGACTACCACCAATATTGAATATGTTTCACAATAGTTGTACTGGAAAATAGATTTTTCAAAGTACTCTGTGTTTGCTTCCTCTAACTTCTAAATAAACACACTGTCCAACAGGAAACGGCCAAGAGAGTTTCCGATTGCAGCATCATCTATTTGTTCGTGTGCTTTCTTTTGAAAGTAAAAATCTACTATTTTCTGTTCATGTTAGGATGACTTCTCATATAAAATCCACTGGTAAAGGGCAGGTGAATTTCATCGCTTATTATGTAGTTTTTTCGTGAAATAAACCAAGACTCTATATCAGTTAAGTATATAAACTTTCCCTTAATGTCCATGCTATCAATAATGTTAACTAGTTCTAATGAACATTTTGTGAAATATATAGCCTATGTTATGCGATTGTAGAGAAACTACCAAATGAATCGCTATCTCATAATATTTGTTTTCGTGCTCAGTTTAAAAATAAATAGTTGAGAAAATTAGGTCATATACCTCCTTTGTTATCCTGTTGTAACTGTAAACGCCCTATAGTTCTATACCTGCTGTGAATACATCTCTGCTTGTTATACACTTTCACATGAGACAGTGATCATCTAAACTGGTTCATCATACCAATAAACTTTGACTTTCACATTTTAATGTTTCGAAACTGGATAGATAAATAAGCCTGTAAAGAGTGTGATTCAGATTTAACTATAGTTTCTTTATCTTTTACTGCTGCTACTGTGTCAGTTTCTTTTAAACAACTAATGTCTGTTTTATATAACTTCCCATACTTTTGCTTTTCAGTAAAGATGGTCGACCTAAACCACCAACTATTATGGCTTGTCCTTCTGAAGGTAGAGCTACTATTCATCCTGCTTCAGTAAACAGTAAACTTCAACCAAATGAACCATTATGGATGGTTTATTTTACAAAAACAAAACTTGAATTGGGATCTGTAAGCTGAAGTTTATGTGGATAATCTTTCATTTGTTTAGTTTCATATTGTTTTATAAGTTAGGCTTTATGGCTCTTATGGTTGTGTGTTGGGAATAAGGCACCCGTTGATTTCTCCGCTTTTTTGCATGAAATCAAATACCTTCAGATAAAAAAATAACGTCTGTGGAGATAAAGCATTTTGATTAACTTGATTTTGGGTATTATCACAAATTAATGTTAGTCAGACAGACATTGAAATTTTAAAAACCCTTTATTATTTACAGGATTTTATCTTGAGCTGACATCGGCTAGAGCACCTTTGGAAAACCTGGAAGCACTGAACAGTTGTTTCGTCCTAGTTTGGGACTCCTCATCTGTACGCACCCATCTGCAGGGTTCGGTGGGTTACAAGGAGAGTTTGTAAACCATTAAGCCACTGGAACCTGATCCAATGACCAGTGCAGGAATTCCAACTTCTGCCAATTCACGATATAGCGCGACCAGTAGCGAATGTCATCGGCAAGTATTTGTCCTTACACCCGACCTACTGTACACTTTTCTGTATCATGTTTTGTGTAAATTATAAAGCAAGTGTTATGTGTCGCAGCAATTGTAAGTAAGGAGAGCTACAAATATTTCTACACCTTCTGACACAGTAAAAAGTCAACTAAAATAGATAAAATGTCTAAAAATTACAGGCAGATTAGTGTATTCACATTGTTGTATTTTCGAAAAGCCAACTTCCGATGTCTACAATTTCACAGATTTAATATATAAATCGATGCTATTTTGCATAAATCACTCCAGCAGTCAGAGACGTAACTATTTCACAATAAATACTGGTGTATTATTAACGATTTTTCTACCACTTTCTTTTTAAACATAATGTCATGATGCAACAGGCGTCAGATTAGCTCAGTCAGTATATATTTTATCAGAACCCTGCGATACTAGTTCTTTTACTATCATATCGGTTTATTTGCCCTGAATAAATAAAAAGCGTATATATCCTTCATGTACATATCCTCTGATGGCTTTTCTAGCACAGCTATTAAACTAATTTTCTCCTTCGACACATATATGATACACTTTTTCAAGTTAGAGAACTATTCAAAATGAAGTATTACTGGCCATTGTTTCTGTCCTAACTTGTGGCTTCATCAGTATGCACCTACTACCCCATCGGGATGGAATCCAGGCCCTTAGGTTACCATGCAAGGATGTTATTCATTCAAACGCTGCGACTGAGAGTCCAATGGCCTACCAATTCTAACTTCTATCAATTTACGATATATTTTTACTAATGGCTGATGAACTCATCTCGTAGCCTGAATGCTCTGGGTTCGATCCATGGGTGCTGATTACGTCGGAAACACTGTCTAGTATTCCCTGGTTTTCATCGGTTCTCCTACTGATGTCACTTCGCGATTTAAGTGAAAACTAATCAAATCCCTGTTAACCAACATTTAAAACTATTTTTTGTTCTTAAATGCAATCGATTTTCCCTAGATGGTGGTAACATCTCCAGAAGTTATATATGTCCAAACCAACTTCACTTTTAACAGTTTGAAAAAATTTGGGCATTGGGTGTATGCTATTCATTATAATAAAAGTTTTTTGTATTTCCCAATAAATGAAAAACAAAACTATATTGTTATTACTGACGTTTCGCTACTTAATGCTAATAGCTTTATTAGAATATTATTAAACCATGAAATGACAAAATCAACTCGAATGTGATAAGCAATTTCATGATGTAAATACACGCTGCGATTATAATTCTGCACACTTATCAAATCCAACAATCTACACCTGGTTTTGTTATCTTTACCAATTGGCCAACTTGACAACGCGAAAATGCTCTCATGCTGAGGAACGATGATTAAGTTGTTATATGTAATCTGAGATTTTGTAAATTCTGGTTTAATAATACTTTCATAAAGCTATCGTTTTGTTTTTCATTTATTGGGAAATACAAAATAACCTTTAATATAGCGTCCTCATAAGTTCAAACTAAAATAAGCATTCACTAAGCCGTTCTATGTGTACTCGTAGTTAATAATGATGAAATTCGTATTCTACCGATGTATTGATCAGATTTCATACCAATAAATAGTTCAACAAGTTATTAAAAAATGTTTTTCTGAGCCGATTTTTCAAGTATGTACAGAAGTATCTCTTAGTATAAAGGTGACTGAATATTACTTACCTCAGTTAATAATACTTATTTAGTCCGCAAAAAAAAATCAGTTTTTAAAATAAATAGTTGGCACAAAGTTCTTTTTTTTTGTAGCAGAGAGTAATACAATATGCTAACGCCTATCGTAGGTACAACAATGAATGTCTTCTCACAAAAGACCCAAAAGTGAAGCGTAAACTAGTTGTATTTACATCTAAATTTGTTCTGTATGTGCACACATATTCATTTGTTTCTATTCACTTCGTCATTTATTCAACGTTATCTCTATAACTAATTTATTTTTCTGTGATTATATATATGCTAACAAAAAAAATATTTGAACCACTGTTCATTTCAACTGTGTTTCTTCTAACCTTCATTTATTTAAATTAAGAGTTAGTTAACTGGACTTCTTGGAGCTAGGTGTTATTCAACTTTGAACTGATATAAGAATAAAACTTGGGCACTGTGGTAGAGTGTAATTCCATTATGGGTAAATTTTATTTTGATAGAGTCTCACAGTGTTATACAGTAATATTTACTGATGAAGTTTCGAGCACAATTTATTGCTCATAATCATATCAAGTTGATATGATTATGAGCAATAAATTGTGCTCGAAACTTCATCAGTAAATATTACTGTATAACACTGTGAGACTCTATCAAAATAAAATTTACCCATAATGGAATGGCAACTTTGAACTACCTGGTGTTCTGATATTTAAACTTATTGTTATGTACTCGTCGTCAATATGTTATGGGGTCGTTGCCGATATCAGGGTGTGACCGAGTGTAAGTATACGCTAATGAGATATAACGGACGATAACGTACAGACTGGTACTGCTGAGTACTTAGTTTGTCCTGACGCGAAGGAGGATGTCAGAAAACTAGCCCGTTGATGATACGTGTATTTTCCACAAGGGAAATAACTGTCACACAAAGTGTGAGTGAAAGTACCAAACAGCAGGAAAGGTGTGAAGAGAGAGTGTGTGTGAAAAAGTGTAGAATGCAAGAGTATATATGAAAACGACTAATATACATGGACCTATAAGATAGACAGTAGTTTTTCTTACCATCATTGAATTCTGATTGGTTGTAATGTCATGTGACAAATAGGTCATACATTGTTTATTTAGTTAATGGACAGACAAAGCATATTGTGAGTTATAATGGAATATCGATCAATATACATATGGCAAAATATCGCAGACTGTCAAAAACAAAGGCGGACATCATGTTACTCTACATATCACCTATTTCAACTGTGCTGAAATCATTTACCCTTCCCGTAAGCCTATTGAGTGACACATTTGATGGGAAATATTCCTCCTAAAATTTGAGGATAACTTTGGTAATAAATGCCAAAAAAGTGTAAAATCTAGATCCATGGCTTACTGCCATTTAACACCACAATCGATGTTGTTGTAAATTACTGACTATATTTCACACACTTGTCACCCGAGACTTGATGCATGAAGATTTACCTCGATATATGTACTCACATTCAAAGCATACAAGCGGTAGTAGTGCTACTGAACTGCATTAACTATGAAGTGGAATCTGAACCTGTAATTCTCAATGAAACTCCTATACTGGTAGCCCAATCATAAACAGTGCCTAATAATGGGGAAAAACAAAACGACGACACACTTAAAATGCCATCCATTTGTTATATTTCTCTCGACTAATTTATTTTGTTGAGAATGAAATGGAATGACTTGAATTCAACTGAATTTTATTTGTATACATTTCAAAAGTATGTTATCTATGTGGAGTTCGCTCACTGACTGTACAACCTATAGTATACATATTGCCTGCTTTTTTTTCTCAAACAGAGGAGATCATCAGCTCTTACAAAAAAGATTCCGGTGTATGCTGTCTTTATACTAATCTCTGCATATACTTGCATTGAAATTAATTTCTGTACATCAATAGTAGTGTCTCTGTCACAGACATAATCACCTACATAATCTATAAATGTTTAAAGGTGTAAGGCAGAAACGCACTTACTCTCGTCTTCTCTTTTTTATCGTTTTTCAGTGGCCAACAATATTTGATTCAACGGTCATATCATTAAGACCTCTATTGTTCTTTAGTAGAAATATAGAAATAACAAAGGTTAGTGTGTTTTATTTTGAACTAGACCTTTTAGTCTGTATTTACTGTCATTGATGAACTGTACATTGTTATAATTGTTGAATATCCACAGTCATAATAGTTATTTTCTGCCTACAGGCGCCTCTACACTACAGTTATTTGTTATCATACTTGCATTGAGATATTGGTTCGCCTTCTTAAGTGGGCTTAATTGAACCAACCGCTTACTCCTGAAAATATGATAAATGTCTGATTGTTTGAAGTTCAGCACGTCATGAATGCAACATTTGTAGATAATCGAATATGTATTGAATTTTGTAAAAGATTACTTGCATGAACTCATTATCGACATTTGTTTTAGGTGAACATTTTTTGTAGCAATATCTTTGTGCTGTATGTAATTTACTGTATTGAACAGTTGTCAGTTTTTATCAACCTAGCACAACTGCTGAACGTAGATCAAAAAATTGTTTGCTCTATCTTTTTGAAATTATTCAGATGTCCATCATCTCATTTGATGTTTAATGTGCATATAAACATATATCTCATCGTTAGGGGCACTAACACCTCGGTTTTGAATTATCGTATAATAGTACTTAGTTGGAATTTTCAAGGAGTATAAACACTTTCATGAGGATATTATTCGTCTTGAAAAATACTCATACAAAGTTAAAGTGACCATTTAGCGCAAACGTAAGATTCGTGAAGGTGTTTCAGTATTGCGATAAGAATACTACTCGATCTCCACACCTTTATCATTCATCTTTCAGTACATACCATAGAATGTTTGCTATCCATGATGTACCATTCCCTTTCTTAATTGATTATTTCAGAAAAAGAGTAGGACATGCTAGACTTAAGCATTTGCATACCTCCTACTAGAGAAGTCCTAAACTGTTAGTTTGAACTAACTATCACATTGTAGATTTCGAGGTTTGCATTTATGAGGTATGCAAAATCGGTAATATAGAGTAGGTAAGTAATGTAACCATGATTCAGTCGCTCTTACTTGGATATACTGTGACGGTCTTTTGTGCGTACAATTGATTTTAAGATATACTGCTTTTGTATACACTTTTGCGTCTTCTTTTTTTTCTTTACTTTTTTGTGATTGAACTGCCCTGTTGGTTTTCTTGTCGTCATGTAGTGATTCAAAGTGTGTGTTACATTTTAAGGTGACACGCTACTCTGTTTAATTTTTAATATCCGAACTCAATACTAGAAATAGATTAAACATTCAACACCATGGAAAAAAAAGTAAAATTGTTCTGTTCTTTTCTATAGAATGATACTGGTCTTTTCACTATTGATCAATGGATTAAATTCAATGGAGAGATGAAGGTAGTTAATGTACTCAAAGTAAGTTGATTGGTACTCTTTTTCATTATGACTTAACCGATTCCAGTAATTCACTTTAATTCCTGGTCATGATTTTCTATGCAGCTTATCATGTTGGTATTATTTGAAGGAATTTCCAATAGACAGTGATGTATTACATTGCTCTACTCTTAAATTCAAAAGTTTGTTTCATTTTGAGAGTGGATATCTCTAGAGAAACAACATTTACAGTTTTATATACATTGAAGTAGAAAAAAAGTGTAAAGTGGATGACTTGTGAGAAATTAGGTAGTAACATTAATAAAAATGCCAGACTTTATTCAAATAATTTTTTGTCTTACTTCAGGTGATTCCTAACGACCTCAGCTCTTTCACTTCCCGCGCTTATTGTGTTACCGTTCAGCTACGGGAGTGAAATCTATTCACTCATGTTATCTGTGTTCCTACCTATCTACAGTCATAATGCGACCATTATTCGTTGTCACCGCTAAGTAGTTCGTAGCACAACTTTTTATTTATTATTCTGTGAGCACACTTGTAAAGGTTCAGAGTACCATCCTGTTGCCCACAGCTAAACTAATAGGATGTGATTCGGATCGGAGATAATTTTTCTTACCGAGCTGGTGTTTCGTTTTGTTTAGACACTTCAACATTTTATAACCAAGACTTCACGAGGTTTAAGCCCAAGAATTTCAAGCTGAAGGACCATTAGATGTTACATGACTTTAACTCTAGAATCGATTGAGTTTACGATTCACGCGTACTCATCAAGATCAAAGGAAATATTCTTCATAGTCAGTGTCTAGATTTTACCCACTGCAAGGAAATTTAGGTAGTTGGTTTATAAACATAAACTTTAGAAAAACAAAAAAAGAGCAAAGAATATGCTTTTCGATAATTTCCTCTTCTGGCTCTACAATCATATATATATATTTCTATGCATAGAATACTGTAGAATAGTCGGTATTATCAATATTGGTGTTTTTAAACACTATCGATTTGTTAAGTAAGATCACTGGAATTACAGTCCACGAAAGACGCTTAAGTTGTAATAAGCATAAAAATGTAATAGCAAATAGAATATGAAAGAAAACTAAGAAAATTTCTGCAATAAATTGAGTATCAATAAAACCTTGATGGCCAATGTAATGACAGTGTCTGGACCAACTTCTTTTTGATACATAAGTTAGCTTCCTTAATGTGCATCCTAATGGCCTCGGCAGTAAGTAGTAGATGAACTCTTAAGGTAAAGTTAAGAGTAGTTGGTATGCGGTAGATGACTTCGTAAGCCTCGTTAACATCAATCTTGTGTTTTGCATCCATGAGATGAAATAGAATGGAGCTATGAATTAATTTCGTTTGTCCTTTACTTAAACACGCAGGATGATGTTCGGAAATCCGACCAGAATTCCATCTATCTCAATTAACAAATCGATAGTGTTTAAAAACACCATTACTGTTAATGGCGACTATTCTAGAATATTCTATGTATATAAACATATATGTAATTGTCGAGCCAGAAGAGGAAATTTTCGAAAAGGATATTCTTTGCCCAATCTTTTTTGTTTTTCTAAATGTCCGAATAAACTAGAATATATCTGGGTCCTTAAAGTGGGACTTCTTAGTTTATCACCTTCAAAAACACATAAAACAATGTATTTTTGGAAATTACACTAGTGTTTTATTTTATGAGTAATAAAGATATAATCAAGGTAAGGTATGCCATTATTGCCTAATGGTCCAATTCGTCACGTCATATCTACACATCAAATAATTGACGAATCAACGTAGGACTTGGCACAGTAGTGTCTTGGTTATCACACCTCAAACATTCATATTAAAGAACATAATTAAATTAAGGTATGTGACGATGTTCGAAATCTGAAGAAACGATAGAGAGTAAAACTTATGTGCCAGTGTGAACCGTTTTGACCCAAGTGTACAAAAATCTGCACCCATTGATTCTTAGCATCCTGAGAACCTCAGCGAGACAGTCCATACGTCACACTAGTTACTAGTGTCCAATCAAAATACTAAAGTAACTAGTCCCTTAAATAAATTTAGATGGTGTTATTAGAAGACGGAGATTATCTGGAAAATGTGATGTATTTGCGCAATACATTTCGCACAATCTGATCACACATTAACTTGCCAAGTCAATTTATGTGAAAAAATAAAGGGCACTTAGAGTACACAAAATGACAAAGAGGATTTAAGAATAGTTAAAACAGTTAGCCCCTTTTATAAACTTGGATAGCGTTATTAGAAGACGGAAATTATCTGAGGGGAACACTTAAATTTTCACAGCTTTTGTCCACTACAGTATAAGAGAGGCTTGGTGAAATGCTTATTCAAGAGGATTCAGCATATTTATTCGACTGATGATATAAGTAAGGAAAATAAAATACTGATGGATACTCTTGTTGAAAACGGCTATGCTTTATAATTTTGAACCAGACGTAGAAATCACTTAGTCTTAAAACCTACAATGTATTCCACCCTTAAGAAAGATATCTTCACCAAATTACTGTGCAATAGGGAAATAAATGGTAGGATTTTGAGACAGAGATTAAACTCGGTCATCCACTACAAAGCTCAAAGGTGTCATTCCCCAAACTACTTGCAGACATTTTCAGGAATAGGACCTTCCTGTGTAAACTGATGGTTGTCGACCAGTTTATGTCATGTTAAAGCGTTTCTACTCTTATCTCTGTATCCCTTATTTGATTCAAAAGTGATTTTAATGACTACTGTAATGAAAGTTTTTTCCTAATAGCTCTTAGGTACCGTTATGTAGTCTATTTTACTATAGCTTGAGTTTTCATATATATATATTAAAAAGTAATTTTTCCAACATTTGAATTCCCATATAATCAATATGCTTAATTTATTATAGGATTTACGAAAATGTATGGATGGATTATTAGAAGAGAAATTTAAATGTCCTAGCCTCACTAATTGGGATGAAACAAGTAAAGAAGGCCGACTACTTCAAACCATTGTGGATCTGTTAACTAGTGAACCTTTACCAGCTATTAATTTTCAAAATTCCGATAGATATAAAAGTATTCCCAAGAAATCGTTATGAAACACTTATCAGTCACCTGTGCAATAACTTTTCCTTCTCAGATATATGTTTACATATTTCTCTCAATAACTGTATCATTAGTTTTCTCTTCATTATGTAAATACATATATAAATGGGTATGATCGTTTTCTGTCAAAAAAACGAGTGTATTTGCTAATTTTTGAATCAAATACCTGATTGAAACAAACAAGGTACGAATCACTTGAATTTCTTAGTTGCATTTGTACGATACATTTTAAATACGCGTACTTGTCGGGCCCATTTACACAAACATCATATCATATTATTTTATTATAGTTCCATTAGGTTCCAAGTGGAACTTAATGCTTCAACAGTACATCTCCACTTTTCCCTATTCTCTGTGGTCCTCTTTAGGTGACCCCACGATTGCCTATAATCTCTCATCTCCTCCTCACACGGTCTCCTCTATGTCACTCTCAGACTCTGAACATTTCGTTTCCCACTCGAGGGTCTGGCGCGCGATATCACTCGACAGTCTTCCCAGTGTGTGTTCTATCCATCTTCATTTTCGCCTATACATTTGTTGAACGATAGGTTCTTGGTCAGTTTGTTCCCATAGTTTCTTGTTGCTAATTCTTTTTAGCTATTTGATCCTCAATGTAGAACGAAGACAGCTGTTCATAAAAGCCTGCACTGAGTTCCTGACCCATATAGAAGAACTGAGTGCACATTGGTGTTGAAAATTCGGACTTAGTTCCTTATACTGAGGTCAGAGGACTTACGGATTTCAGAATGGATGTTATCTGTCTTGCCTTTCCGATTCTGGTTTCGACATCCTCATCTGTCTGGCCTGTAGTTGAAACGGTATTGTCTGGATAAGTGAAGGAAGCAAGCTCTCTCAAATTTGTTCCGTTGATAGTGATTGGGGCTTGTTGTTATTTTCGCTTGGTTGGTTATTTTCATCGCCTCTGTCTTCTCTATGTTTACTTGAAGTCCTATCTTTTCTGTTTCTTCAGCAGGTTTGTTAGTTTCCGCCTGTAGTTCTTCTAGTTTGTGTGACATCAGACATAAATCATCTGCGAAATCCAAATCTTCCAGAGTCTTCAAAGCTACTGGAAACAGACCACTCAGAAACTGAATGACAAAACTACGAAAGAATAAAGCCATCAAAATAAAGTATGAAACACTACGTAGCATCACTGAGAAAGCCTGTAAGTAATAACATTGGAACTCTCTGAAGGTGATGTTCAAGGGAACGTATAAGGTCGTTATACGAAGAATGTAGAGGCAAGACAAGGAATGGCTTTCTATGGATATCTGGAAGTTAATAGAGGAAGGGAAAATGCTAAAACAGAAGACAAATTAATGCAAAGATGGACAACAGAAGAAGCTGAATTCACTGAATAAAGTGTCGAGAAAGAGTGCTTGGAAAAACAATTCTACAACACACCGGCAACTGAAGCAGCACAGACAAGCGAAACCTCAGAACAGTATACGAGATAACCAGGTCTCCATCCGCAAAAGATCAACTCAGATGAAACCTTAAAAAGACGGCCAAGGGAACCTACTTACCAGAGAGAAGAGATATAAAACAATGATCTGATCATTTCAAAGGACTCTTGAATCGACCATCACCTGTAACTCGTCCAGAAATACGATCTACAGCTACAGAACTGCCAGTGATCACCGATCTTCCGACAAAAGCAAACGTCTTATGAAGTTACGAGAAGGCGCCAGGACCAGACGGAATTCCTCCTAAATCACTGAAAACGGATCCAGAGATTGCAGCGAGTATACTGGCGCAAATTTCGAGATATGAATATTAGAAAATATGATTTACTTTGAAGCCGATTTGTCAACGAAACTCTTCATTATCCTGTGTATCTTTTCCTCTACTATCAATGTTCTTAATGTTTAATTATTCTCTCCATTGTCATGTTACGAAGTATAGACACCTTTGTGAATTTCCAAGTTGATGCATTACATCTAAGGTACTGGACCTGTAGCTAACCTTATGCTTTGTGTGTTTTCAGTAATCTGGAAGTAAAAGATATTTGCCCTTTTCGTCTAAACCATGTTCCGATTTAATGGTTTGAGAGAAAATTCAGTATATGGTATTCATTATTATAAGAAGTTCCGTATTCCCCAATGAATAAAAAACAGAACTGTATTGTTCTTACTGACGTTTCACTATGTAATTCTAATAGTTTTATGAGAGTAATAATTTAATCCAAATTCTCAATGGAACTTGGTAAGACACAGGTCTACATCCCATAGAATCAGGCTACCAGAATAGTTCGATAACATTGGAATCATTCTGGAAAATTTCAGAAATCACAAAGAACGCTTCATATTTGGTGCAAATGAAATTACCCGGTTAGGAATGGTGGATTAAGACAGAGTTTAACCTAGTTCCAACATCACCCCCACCCCATGAATTCACACAATCAACACAAATGTGATAAACATCCTCATTACGTAAACACATGCTGTTTTATAGGTTTCACACTCATCAAGTCCGAATATCCATATACGGTTTGTTGTGTTTACCAATCTAGCCACTTAACAACGTGAAATTATCTCATGTTGAAGAACCATATAAGCTGATATTTAGACAGACCTCTTTGTATTAAATAAGGAAAAGACTATTTCGTTTTGTTTTACATTCATTGAGAGATAAAAAGCTTTTCTTTATAA